CATCTTAAATCCCTGTTTTTTTTTGTGATTATCCAGCAACCTATCTTGAGTAGCCTAATGCCGATGGGTTTGACTGGGTTTATGGAGTAGAAAACCCCAAGACCATCAAATGATGACCATTTGGATGTGGGTCAAAATGGAAGACCTAGGGGACCACAGATGTTAGTCTAGTTGAGTATTAACCATCCAATTATTGGGGTACCTAATTTTGACCCATACCCATTTTGATAGGGAAAGGATGAACACTGATTGGTTTTCTTAGGCGCCCTAGAAATTTGAGACTCGCCCATGATGCCACCATGTTGCCACCAGTCCTTCGACTAGGACAACATGCCATGGTTCATTCCGTTCACCCTTGAATCCATATAACTTAGTTAGTATCCTCCAGTAATCAACTGTGGCAATTGAAAATCCAGCATTATTTTAGGCATGTTCCAATTAACACCTGAATTTAGTTCGGATTTCCCAGTGATTTCCCAGCTAGCCATGTTTGATGACACCAGAGGTATCCCCCACTGCCATGATGTCCAAGGTGTCGAGAGTGTGAGCAGCAAGAACTTGCCAGTGAGCACGGCTGCCAAACAGGCGACAGGTGACAGGCGACAGGAACCAATCACAGAAGAATCACTGTAAAATAATGGTTAATATAATTATCAATGGTTAATATTAATGGTTCATATATTAATTTGTGTGTGAAACAACAAAATGGTTGGTTAAAATAAATGTATATAAAATGATATATAATTGGTGAATAATGGCTAATTATAATGGTGATAAGATAAGTGGTGAAGAATGGAATTACCTTCTGTTTAAATCATTGACGCGGCTGGAAAATCCCCGAACTAAATGGAGGTTGTGACTGCAAAAATAGTCTACTAATGGGAATTGTAAGGTTGACATGGATTATTATATGTCCAACAATGATATGTGAACATTTGAAGTGAAATATGTGGAATCAGCATGTTAATTTCCATTGACATGTTCACTTCTAGTCATCAGACAATGATTCCATACTTAGGGCATGGACCTGTGACGTGGTGGTTGTCACGACATACTTTCAGATGTTCATTCTATAGAGACAAAGTCTGAATCCTCTGGTAAAAAATACTTTGAATACTATACTATGACATTATATAACTGGTTGGTGGTTTGGAACATGAATTTTATTTTCCATTTCATATATGGGATGTCATCCTTCCCATTGACGAACTCCATCATTGTTCCAGATGGTTATTGCACCACCAACCAGATAAACTTCTTACATACTTTCAGATACTTCACTTACCCTCTGGTAATTTAACATAACTATGGAAAATCACCATTTTTCATGGGAAAAATCACTATAAATGGTGATTTTCAATAGCTATTTTGACATAACCAGAGGGTAAAGATCTTAAAGCCCTAGGACAAAGCCTCCATCTCCATTCCCAGCGACGTCCGAGGCTCCAAGCTGAGCTGGAACAGATGAGGACGTTGGCCAATGCAAAAAACGTCGAATATTTGGAGGGTGTACCCTCTGGTATCCCTCTGGTAATTTAACATACCTACGTGAAATGGCTAATATGTTTTTTTTGTAGATTTACCTGTTAGACATGGTGGTTTTCCAGTTCGCAAACTGTCTTTACGTTTACCAGAGGGTTTCCCCTCGGTCTGACCCCGAGACGGGATGATCACAGGGCGGTTCAAGATTTGGCAATTTGGAACTAGCCAGTTTATATCATATCATATCTCAGGTTTTACCAGCAGTGAGAATATTTAGATATAAAACCATTTTTTATTGTTTTTTTCCAGAACCAGCCATGTATCATGAATCTAAGGTTTTAGCCCAGTAAGATATGATACATGGGATGTCTGGAAAATGTTGGATTCTGGAGAAATAGGAATAGATGCCTCCAACAAAAAAAAGAGAGAGAAAACATGATCGGATAAAAAACTGGGAAAGTCAATCCGGAAAAATATGGAAAAATAGGGAAAGTCAATCCGGAAAAATATGGAAAAATAAACTTAAACGTAACGTGCTCATACTAGAATGATTCGATGATCACCCAAGATTTTATCTCATGGGAATCTAAAAATCTGACCATTCAAAACACATCCGTGGATGGTTTCCTCAAATAGAGGTACCCCCAGTTCTCATCCATTTTATATAGGTTTGTTTTTTCCATTTTCCATAAACCATCATATTTTTGGGGGGTACTCCTATAACTTTGGAAACCTCCGTGCTACAAACCATCGAATTCAGCATTCACCTTGTTATTTTCACCACGGCTACAGTAGTAAACTATAAATGTACTATAAACCATATAGTTAACCTAGTTATAAACATCTATAAATAGCTATCTTTACATAAAAGCCCATAAACCTAGATGTATAAATACTGTATCTACATAAATACCAATTCACCTAGTTGATCCTAGTTGTTTATAGATATAAAGCCATAGTTAACGAGAGTTAAACACCTATAACCACAGTTAACCATGTCTACCATAAATAGACACCAACTATTTTCAGATATAGATGTCTCTATCATAACTATGTCTACACCATGGATGTTTAGACACCTAACATCTACCAATTCACATATAACTCATATCGACACCGTTGTTCCAGGAGCCGAGCGGAGACGGAGCTGACAGCGCAGGCCGAGGTGGTCGAGGTCGTCCGCGACATGCGGAGCTGAGACGCGGCCAAAATGGCGCGCGGCACGGTGGGAAGCGTGTTGGATGGGAAGAAGAACCCTCTAACTATCTCTAACTATCGATCTCTAAGTATAGTTTGATCAAGTTATGAATTAGGCATATGAACTACACATAACTATAGATCTCTATAGGATTAGCTACATTCATATGATTCATATCCCTAGTTGATGAACGATATATGATACAATTGATTCATTGTTCTAAGGAAATCAAGTTATGAATTATCCGACTTAGGGATATGAAATATGAACTACATAACTACATACTGATTTTGTTGATAACTAGTCATTCCCATGGAATTTGAACTTGTTTTTTTCGGTGGGAGACGCATGGGGATAGCATCGGCTCATATCGGCTCGCTGTCATCGGTCATCAGAGTCATCCGGTTGGAACTAGGCCCAAACCAGGCTTATGCATAGCTAAAAAAAGTCACTTACAAATGGATTTAGATGATATTATCCAATTATCCAAGTATCCAACTATCCAATTAATGATTACATAGCTAATATTTCCAATGATCCACCAAGTATCCAATTCAGATATTTGGCCCGGCAGGTCATGACAGGTCTGTTTGCGCCTTTAGAACATAACCAGTTGACTTCGGAGCTCACAGAAGAAACAGAAATCAGATATGTGAGCTCACATTGTTTACTTAGTAAGTGGATATTTACTAACAATGTCTACTGAATATCTGAATATCCACTTACTAAGACCATTTTTTGTGTCAATCCCATCGATTTCATGGATATCAAATGATATCAATATGGGAATTGGTGGTGATGTTGTACAACCAGCTGGTATACGGAAGCGGGTTATACCAGCCCATCTTCCCCACCTTTTGGATGCCTGGGAAGCGGCAGAAGTTGATTTCTGCAGGGGTTGATTCAAGTTGGTTGGACCGTTGGACCTTTGTTGAATTGAGGATTTCTCAATATTTATCTTCAATGGCAGTTTTGGGGGACATAGCCATGTCCATGGCCATCAGTACGACGGCATAATCTTCAAGCCTCTACTTGAAGCGTGGCGTGCTGAAGTCGCTATCAGCCGCGCTAGCCATGAGGCACACATCATGAAAAAACGACGCACTCAACCGTCGTTGGCTGCTGATGGCGCGAACCTGAAGCAAGTTACCACGCAGGTTCGAGATATCAGCTGGCCGATAGCTAGTGAAAACTACCTAGCTGTTGGTGTTCTCTGTCCGTGTTGACCCCAACGTCGTGGGTGGTTTCATATCATGAACATATTTGCAGTCTCTTTTTAAACTACAAAGGCACTTATATAGTTGACTTGATGATTGCCTTTAGGGCGCTCTACCCAAAATCGTAACCATATTTTGGACATTTTTGGGCCATAGTCCATGATTGTGGGAATATCCATTAGAAAAAACAATCATTAATCAACCAGTATCTGGTTGGTGGTTTGGAACATTTTTTATTTTTCCATATATTGGGAATTTCATCATCCCAACTGACGAACTCCATCATTTTTCAGAGGGGCAGGTACACCACCAACCAGATTATTCATAGAATTGGATTATGGGAAAATTTACAGGAAAGCCCTATATTTGATGGTAAAAACCATGGTTTCCTGTAGATTTTCCCCAACAAACCAATCCAGTGAATTATGTTCCAATTTGACACTGCTATGAATGTCTGGATTGTCTATTGTCCATCCCAATGGATTCTACAGGGCGGAGCCCTGGAAGCCCTGGAATCCCTGGAGTCCTGCTACATCGGATAGACCTCAATCCACTGGTTCATCAGCCGTTGCGCCATATTTTGATATATGTTATCCAATAGAAAGGACATATATTTTCTGGTTATTTAACATAGCTATGGCACATGGCCTACATATGATTTTCCCATATATTTGACCTAAATCCACAATTTTAAACCCATATATTTGAAGGTGTCCCTTCCGTCAGATGACGCGCCGCTATGCCGTCCATGGCTCGACACAGTAGGGTGGCTGGTCATGGATTGTAATTTTGGTTGAAGGCCAACAGAAACAAACAATGGACACATTGAACACAAAGTTGCAGGTATATACATAATGGTGTATAATGGTGCATATAAAAATAATATTTTAATATATATATATATTATTATACACAGTGTTCGTTTCGTTAGTCATTCATTCCGGATGCAACGAAGCCCTGGATTCATCCCTGCAGAGCCAACGAATCATCACCCGAGACTTGAGACCATGTCGAGCATCCATCAAAATCCACGAGAATCCTCACCCAAACCAGCCAAAAAAATCAAAAAAAAAAACATCAAATCCTCACCTCAAAAGTCATCACGGACCCAAGGGGCATCGGGTCGAGCGTTGGATGTCATGTCCTTGCGGGACTTGCCCTCTCTATTGAGGTGGACAGCTTGGGTGTTGGTGAAATCCAGCAATGGAAATACTTGGAATAGGATTTGGAGTCAAAAAATTGAGGATTTGGAAAAGTACAGTTGAATCATGTTCAATCTATACAGTGTAAAGATATGTAAAGATAGACTTATCAGTAGACTGACAGTCTATATATCAGTCTATTTTTACATTTGTTTTCGTTTTGCATTTCTTAATTTTCTTAGTCTATCAGAGGGGACTATACCAAATTAGGGTGGTTAGTTGGTTAGTGATTCGTGTTTTTTAAAGCTCAAATCCTGACGCGTACAGAACCCCATGGGTTTCAGGGGATTTTCAGCAGGATTCGTCAGACATCTCACGAAGATCCAAGATGATCCAAGTAAATAATTATGCCATACACAGTATGTACATATACATTATATATTACATACAATATATATATATATTGTACACATTCATTGAGTACCTGCACGTATCATAACTCACCGATATAAAATGCTACAAGCGGATATGTATTATAATATATACCCTCTGGTAATTTAACGTAGCTATTGAAAATCACCATTTTTAATGGGAAAATCAACTATAAATGGTCATTTTCAATAGCTACGTTAAATTACCAGAGGGTATCTCTATATGTATCCGCTACGTCGCTGCGTGGTGCGATTCAGGCGACGCGCCAGCAGCACGGTGCGCGACGGATGGAAAGTGATCCGACCAGGGCACTGGGTCCCAACGGATGCAGCGGATGGGCAACTTTTTTCGCGACCGAAGCCTGTTCTCCACTGGAAATGATGGTAAATAACCCACAGTTATAGGTATAGTTTATGGCTATTATTGGTTTATTATGCCATAGGATCCAGAATAGTTGGTATATGGCCATGACGGATCCATGGTGCTGCTATATATGGTGTGCCATGGATCCCATCAATATACTGGAAATGATGGTTAATAAAATGGCAGATCTATTTCACTGGAAATTCACGAATAATGGCAATAATTCACTGGAAATAAGGGGAATCATCCCAAAATGGCACTATTTTTGAGATGAGTGAATTATTAGAATTTAGCCAGATCTATGAATCTACGGTTTTTTACATACGTAGATTCGTGGAAAAAGCTAATATGGTGTCCTTGGGAGAATGACCTAGAAAAATGGTTGATGTTCCACATCGTTGTTAGGAGAGAAATGAGGGCAATATCTATTAATTTTGGGATGAGTTAAGGGTTTATTAAGCATCTATTATGGGATATGGTGGAATAGAACGTGTTTGAGAAGGCCCAACAATAAGGGTTTAGGAACCATCTACTATAAGGGTTTCAGGGTGGATTGCAACCATTTACATGAATATCCATTATGGCATGATATAATGGGATAACAAAGGTTCATTAAGCTAAGCTATCGTGGAATGTATTGGAACAGCAAGGGTTTATCAAGGCATATCAAGGCTCAATCATATGATAACGGGTTATGAACCTACATTATGGGACATCGCCGGATAGAATGGGATATCATGGAATGATGGTTTTAAACCAGGGCCAATCCGCACCACCAACAAGCATAAACAAGCCCCGTGTCAAAGGGATTCCAAGGGCGGGCGAATCCGAACCATCTATTGTTGCTGGGGATCATCGTTCTCTACACTGAATGGATCATGGAATCCTCAATTTTCCATGGGCAGATATTTTTTTCTGTACAATAGATGGTTCGGATTGTTAATACATAATCAAAGGAAGTTTAGTGGGAGAAACTTCCGTGTTACGGACTTTTAGAATGTCAAAGAAACAGTTAGTCAAAGAAACAGTTAGTCAAAGAAAGAGTTGGTGAGGGAAACAGTTAGTCAAAGAAAGAGTTAGTGAGGGAAAGAGTTGGTGAGGGAAAGAGTTAGTCAAAGAAAGAGTCAGTCAAAGCAACAGTTAGTCAAAGAAACAGTTAGTTAAAGAAAGAGTTAGTCAAAGAAAGAATTAGTCAAAGAAACAATTAGTCAAAGAAAGAGTGAGTCAAAGAAAGAGTTAGTCAAAGAAAGAGTTAGTCAAAGAAACAGTTAGTCAAAGAAAGAGTTAGTCAAAGAAACAGTTAGTCAAAGAAAGAGTTAGTCAAAGAAACAGTTAGTCAAAGAAAGAGTTAGTCAAAGAAAGAGTTAGTCAAAGAAAGAGTTAGTCAAAGAAAGAGTTAGTCAAAGAAACAGTGTTAGTCAAAGAAACAGTTAGTTCGTCGAAGGTTCGTCAGGGAAAGGGTTAGTTAAAGCAAGAGTTAGTTAGGGCATTGATTGTTCCCGCAATGCAAATGGGATTGCAAGTGGTGCTGCCGGATGAGTTGCCGATGGAGTTTTGAAGGAAGTCTCGCACGAAATGCGTTTTTGAGAGATAGCAGATGCACGAATCCCTATGTTTTTCCATACAAAGTCCGTCCCCGAACGTCGATGATCTACCTCTGCGGTGCGACGGGTGCGAGACGGTCTCGTGTGTGGTCGGATCATGCTCGGATCATGTTCGGATCCTGCTCGGATCGGTTCCGCATTGTAAATGGGGTGTCAACGGTTTTTCGTGCATGTGTGGTCGACAGAATTCCATTGTGATTTGCAACTGTAGGATCGTTCCCGCAATGTAAATGGGATTGCAAGTGGTGCTGGTGGATGAGTTGCCGATGGAATTCCATTGTGATTTGCAACTTTAGGATCGTTCCCTCACTGTAAATGGGATTGCAAGTGGTGCTGGTGGAGGAGTTGCCGATGGAGTTTTGAAGGAAGTCTCGCACGAAATGCGTTTTTGAGAGATAGCAGATGCACGAAAGCCTATGTTTTTCCATACAAAGTGCGTCCCCGAACCTCGATGATCTACCTCTGCGGTGCGACGGGTGCGAGACGGTCTCGTGTGTGGTCGGATCATTCTCGGATATGTTCGGATCATTCTCGGATCGGTTCCGCATTGTACATGGGGTGTCAACTGTTTTTCGTGCATGTGTGGTCGACAGAATTCCATTGTGATTTGCAACTGTAGGATCGTTCCCGCATTGTAAATGGGGTTGCAAGTGTTGCTGGTGGACGAGTTGCTGATGGAATTGCATTGTGATTTGCAACTGTAGGATCGTTCCCGCAGTGTAAATGGCTGCGTCAAGGTTGCTTCGTGCTGTGGCTGCATTCGTAATACTATTGTCTTTTGCAGCTGGACTTCGTAAATCGTATTGGAGTGGCTGCATGAAGGCTGCCACAGTGATTTGTCAGCAGATTTTCTCCATTTTGGCGCTAATGATTTTCCTTCTAAAAATCCTTTTAAAAAGTGCCTCAAAATCGTCTTTTTTTCGCTCTGGCGTCGAGATCCGGTTTTGGAGCTACAATTTCCGACGCCGTTGCGCGTAGTTCTATTGTGCTTTGCAACTCAGTCTCTGCAGATCGCATTGTAATGGCTGCGTCAAGGTTGCTTCGTGCTGTGGCTGCATTTGTCATACTATTGTCTTTTGCAGCTCGACTTCGTAAATCGTATTGGAGTGGCTGCATGAAGGCTGCCACAGTGATTTGTCAGCAGATTTTCTCCATTTTGGCGCTAGTGATTTTCTTTCTAGAAATCCTTTTAAAAAGTCCTTCAAAATCGTCTTTTTTTCGCTCTGGCGTCGAGATCCGGTTTTGGAGCTACAATTTCTGACGCCGTTGCGCGTAGTTCTATTGTGTTTTGCAACTCAGTCTCTGCAGATCGCATTGTAGTGGCTGCGTCAAGGTTGCTTCGTGCTGTGGCTGCATTCGTAATACTATTGTCTTTTGCAGCTCGACTTCGTAAATCGTATTGGAGTGGCTGCATGAAGGCTGCGACAGCGATTTGTCAGCAGATTTTCTCCATTTTGGCGCTAGTGATTTTCCTTCTAAAAATCCTTTTAAAAAGTGCTTCAAAATCGTCTTGCACAACAACAGTACGTGGTTGGACGACAAAGAGTCGGACGACGAAGTTCTCCGCAGACAATACCGTCATCTCTGGGAAGCTGTGCGGTCCTTTCAACCAGAGTTTGTTGATGCTGAGTGAAGTGTGGAGTGTGAAGTTTGGAGTGTGAAGTTTGGAGTGGAAAGGAAGCAGTGAGAAGTGAGAAGTGTGAAGTGTGGACTGTGAAGTGTGGAGTGTGAAGTGCGAAGTGAGAAGTGTGAAGTTAGGAGTGTGAAGGAAGCAGTGAGAAGTGAGAAGTGAGAAGTGTGAAGTGTGGAGTGTGAAGTGCAAAGTGAGAAGTGTGAAGTGTGAAGTGTGAAGTTTGGAGTGTGAAGGAAGCAGTGAGAAGTGAGAAGTGTGAAATGTGGAGTGTGAAGTGTGAAGTGCGAAGTGCGAAGTGTGGACTGTGAAGTGTGAAGTGTGGACTGTGAAGTGTGAAGTGTGGACTGTGAAGTGTGAAGTGTGGACTGTGAAGTGTGAAGTGTGAAGTGTGGACTGTGAAGTGTGAAGTGTGCAGTGTGAAGTGTGAAGTGTGAGGTTTGGAGTGTGAAGGAATCAGTGAGAAGTGAGAAGTGTGGAGTGTGAAGTGTGGAGTGTGAAGTTTGAAGTTTGGAGTGCGAAGAGTGCAGTGTGCAGTGTGAGGGGTGGAGTGTCGAGGGAAGGACACGGTCGGGACAGGGTGTCTTTGAACTATAGGTCATTTATGTTTGGGAAACTTCCGCCGCCGGCTTGCCCGGGTCTATGTTATACATATGACAATCTTAAATTGTACAGAACAATATTAGGAACAATAGCAATTCCATGCTCAATGCCTTAAAAGATCCCTAAATTGCTGTCCGACAATTTAGTTGTTCTGTACAATCTAAGGATCTTTTAGGGCATTGTCATTCTCCCAGGATTTTGTCATGGCAACATTGACAGATCCGGATGAGCCAAGCCCAAGCCCAAGCCCACGAGGTCCGGTTGAAATTCCCACGGACATCGCCATGTTTTTCGTGAAATTCCCATGGAAATCCCAATGAAAATGTCAAGTCCCAAGGGGGCAATGCTACGCCTTGCCTTCCTGAGGCGGTCCAGACAGTCGGTCTCCAGCACGGACCTGGGGCCGTCTGAGGCCGTCTGATTAGATAAGCAAACTACTTGAGTTGACCAGTATTAATTAGTTATATAATTTACAGATAGAACATAGATAATTATGAATATTATATATATAATTATATATATAATTATATATATAATTATATATATAATTATATATATAATATATATATAATTATATATATAATTATATATATAATTATATATATATTATTATTATGTCAAACTTTTCTTTTAAAGATATTGATATGCTCGTTTTTTCCCTAGACTTTGTTTGGGTAGTTGATGCCAAACAATTAAAATGTTCAACCTTTAGCAGGACAGCTGGGAACCAATCAGATTCATGAGGATATCGGCTGTGTTCACAATGGACAAGTGGGATAGACTCGATAGACCACCTAAAAATGAGGCCACATGGCCATTCCATTCTAGGGATTTCTTGATTTTTTTAATCAGTAGTTTTTTTTTGTGCACGACATTTTTCAGACAAAGCCAAGCCTATGACGTCTGACCATCTTTTCTGATGATCCCGTGGCACGTCGGACCATTGGACCAAACTTGCTGCTTGTCACTTCCCATCACTTCCACTAAAGTTATACTGTACCACATTTCCATACATGTCCACTAGGCACAACGCTGAGTAGTTGAGGTATTGATAATTTCAAATACAATTGCAATTACTAAAGCAAACTAAACCCCTATAAATGTGAATAGATCTGAAACGTTTGGGACGTGCCAGGTGAATCGACTTCGCCAAACAGCATTGCCCGGGCCCAATCTCCTCGGAGAAAGCTTGGAATCCCCGGCCAAAACTCCAACGTGACCTCAACCCCAAAATAGAAAAGTCCGAAAGGTGGAAATATGATGAAATATGTACCCTCTGGTAATTTAACATAACTATGGAAAATCACCATTTTTAATGGGAAAATCCACTATAAATGGCCATTTTCAATAGCTATGTTAAATTACCAGAGGGTAATTACTGTAATTATTACATATCTATACCCTCCTCGAAATACCGTTGAATGTCATCGTTTTGGGGATGGCGATACTTTTGAGAGTCGGAATCACTTGATGTTTGGGTTTTTCAAGGGTCCCTATTTTGGCACGTTTTGCCACGTGGCTATGGATCAAACATGGTCAAACCTAGGGCCTTGCAGGCCGATCTGCTTTGAATTCTACGGATCGCCCATGGGTTCACAATCTTTGCATGATCATAGAATCATCAATTATCCAATACTCGTTTATAAGACTATAAAGTTGGTCAATCATCAACGTCTTACCTTTGACTCCAAGCTACGAAACTTTGGTATGAGAGCTTCAAGCACAAGTACCATACAGAAATGTGCTGCTGCAAGTCGTCTAGGGGATTTAGGCTGGATTTGTTTCAATCTGTATCGGTAGTAATCACTGTGTATGCACTTTTTTTGCCAAAATGGGAATGGCAGAAGAAAGAGAAACACATATTACCCCCAAAGCCGGACGGTCTTGAAAGCAAATATGCTTGAATCAATTTGAACCAACCATTATATATAGTATTATATATATATAGTCATGCTGAAGTGGATGGAATATCACCATGCCAATCATGTTCATTTCCATTGTTGTATTGGTTTTAGTTTCCGTATTCTATCTAATTACTCCAGGATGACTATAAAGATGTATACATATATATATGGCAATTTCCTACAATTGGGGTACCCCTAAATCATCCAAGTCATTAGTTCATTTTAGTATTTAAGCCCATGATGACTTGGAGATCCACAATTTTAAGAAACCTCCATTTAAAGAAACTATAAACCCACCCCAAGAAACATCAACGGGGCAAATTATGCCATATTCACTCCAGGATGATTAAGTGATACTATGTGTTTTGCCTCTTGTTTCCCAATCATTTTGGTTCCAATTTTGAGTCTTAGCCATTTACCTTGCTGTCGGACGGACTCCAGGTCCAAATCGGCTGGCAAGCTGAAACGTGAGGACGAGGCTGCGGTAGAGATGGTCCAATCGCGGTAGAGGCGTTCTGAATGGAATATGATAGGGATATTAATGGAACATGTAGGTATAAATATTGTATAATCTGGATGAATTTGAACATGACAAATCCATGATTTTTGCTGGGAAATCCCATATAAATGGGCATTTAAGTGGGAAGATCCTCCAGAAATGGAGGTTTTAATGGGCAAAACATCTATAATGCCGGATGAATTTGATCATGACCTCACTTAGACGTCACTGGAATAATGGCTGGAAATGGGAGTCCCCTTCGTATCCCCAAGTTGACCTTATTTCAGCTACTGAATTGTTGCAATTCAGCCCGATCCACTGGCTTAGCATCATGTTTATTCATGTTCCATCATTTTCCCATCTGTTCCTTAAGAAATTATACTGGCTGGGGATCAATCTGGGCGGGTATAATCCACTTCTAAGCCCATGACCGAAGCATGACATTGGCAAATCAGCAGTGATGATCCGGATGAGGCGCCCCCTAGGCGCTGACTCCGTATGAAAACATGTTTCAGATATGGTGTATACCCCCCGTTTACGGCCATTTGGCCATGACATGCCATGACAACAAGACATAGAAATCCACAAAAGGCCATATGTGTTGAACATATGCAGTTCTTCCTTGTGGAAGGACGAACTCCCAGTTCTTACAGCCTAGTCACTATTCAAACGATCAATTGTTGGCTATTCAAACTACCAACCATATGTTAATATACGATTCCCATCTATTCCCATGTTGTAATGATCTCCGGAATTTCGGATTTGGGGCAACATCCCAAAGAACTATTATATATTGGTGATTCATATACTAGTCCCATCTATTCATATACTGATTGGTGGTTTCAAACATGTTTTGTTTTCCATAATATAGGGGATGTCATCCTTCCCATTGACGAACTCGATCATTTTTCAGAGGGGTGGCTCAACCACCAACCAGTATACTCTTCATCTAAAATTTGGGGCAACAAAAATCACCAAACGAATCGTGGCTGCAGCGAAAGCTTCAAGAGTTGCTGGCGAGGCGGAAAGCTTTCTGCCAGGCACCATAGGATCCAGCCCCACTGCGAGGCGACCAGGGACCATGTCTGCCAATGGCTGACTAAAAAAACACCAGAAATGGGTTTGGTGGAGCTTTGACATGCTGACTTTGGTTGATACTTTGATATACTTCTGTAGTATATTGTTGTGTTGGATTTTTGTGCTACCAAACTGAAAGCCATTTGGTGGTTGAAAGTGCACTGAAAATAATCCAATATGGTTCTTATTCATGCAGAAGCTGGGGTTTATACGGCCAATTCTTTTGAGAAGGCTTGTGTGGCTATGAGTGGCGAGCAGTTTCCACAAGTTTCAAATTCTAGTCACCAGCAGATACTGGTTGGTGGTTTGGAACATGTTTCATTGTTCCATAGATTGGGACTAATCATCCCAACTGACTCATAGTTTTTTCTTTTAAAGATGGTTAAAACCACCAACCAGGATATGTTTCATCATTGTTTGATGAACATGTTATTTTCTTAGGTGCCCATCTCCTCAGCTTGCTCGCTGTTGCGAATGTCAGTCCCCATCGCATCGGTTGATTCACAACCAGCCTGTGTTTTATGTTCTCAGAAGTGTGGATTTACAAATTCAATGTGTACATTTCAAATCGTACAAATCTATATTGATTCATACTTGTATTAATTTATTAATAATAACAAACATTATATATATATATGTATACACATTGTATATAAGTAATGATATATTATTATCTATGTGCAGACAGACAAAAGATAACATATTATATATATATGCATGTTATATGTATATATATATGGTGTTGCACACATTGTGTATTTCCCGTTTCCACATCTAGCTGGCAGAATGGTGACCAGGTTACAGCGGAGCAGCGCTGCGCAGGCGTGGCGTGGTGTGTTCAAAACCCCTCGGTCTTTCTACTGGTTGGTTGATAGGGATTCCCCTATTGGATTATTATAGTATATGATAATCCCCCATGTATTGATATTGTTGGATTATGAATGGACCCCATCTATTGGATATTATAGTAATTATATGATTCCCCTATTGAACCTCTTGGATCATTATAATTCTGAAGACATTTGGTAGATTTTGGTAGTATAATCCCCTATCATCATCAACCAACCAGGGTTTTGAACACTGCCCAATCAGTTAAGACGGATCATAGTATAGCCATGGATAAATGATAATGGTACCTTATTGATGGAATTGGATTAGCTAATCCATTAGTTAAGATTAACAATCATCTTAGTAGGGAATTTTTCATGGGCTGATTGTGAAAATCGTATTTTTCATAGCTATGGATTGGATCATTAATTCCCCAGTCCCAGTCCCGGTTTCCGAGTCGTTCCGAGGTGCCAGACATGCCGTTCCCAGGTGCGATTTTGAAAAAAAACCGCCGCCTGGGGGAAGCCGGTTTTTGATGTAGTTTTTGTCCAGGTGAACCACTAAAGCTAGATTAATTACATTTAATTACCCTCTGGTTATTTAACATAGCCATGGAAAGATCCACCATTTTTAATAGGTAAACCATCTATTTCTATGGGCCATTTTCCATGGCTATGTTAGTCATAATCAGATGGTATAGGTGGTTACATAGCGACTGGTTTCTTGGGGATTGTGATAACATGTGATAACCCATCATGTAGATACCTATCAACTAACTAGTAGAATGAGATGGGATTTGTTCATGGCTCAAGTATCTAAGCAACCAAACTTCGGACATTCCCGGAATTCATGGGAAATTTCAAAGGACAATCCTATGATCACTAGTAAAATCCGTAAAATCCAGGTTTCTGGTTGAGATGTTCCGAAAAATCCAGCCCCAAACGAGACATGTTTAGACATGGGGATAATAATTATCAACCAAACGACCCCAAAATCATTCCCCAAAATTATATGGAATATCCTTTGTACTTCCATCTCTCCCTAATTTTTTTTCTGAGTGACGAAATTTGATCGCAGCTTTCGACATCAATGTGCTTGGGCAATCAGTTACTAGGAGGTTGGACTGGAAATAGGGTACCATGAAGTCCAATGGTTTATCATATATGGAGGTTTCCTAAAATGGGGGTACCATGGGGTACCGTACTAAATCATCCATTTCTAGATGGTGTTTTCCACCATAAACCATCCATTTTGGGGCTCCATTTGTGGAAACCCCATTTTCAGACGCACCCATCTCCGGCATCCCACGGGTGACTCCCGTCGGGCCATCCGTGGAAACCTGATGACTCAACCGGTCTTCAAACGGTGCTGACGTTTGATCTATCTTGACGTGTCATGCTGAAGACGGGCAGTATTATATTGGTCATCATATATAATATAATAATATATAATATGTATATATATATTATGTTTTTTGTTCCCATATTTATATATAATATATATATATACGTTTCAAATGGCAGTCACAAGTGCTGCATTGGAATGTCGGATCCGGTTCGTCGCCAACCATCCATTCATATGTGGCTGAAACCACACGTTTGCCGGTTTTATACATCCTTTCTTGACAAGCTCCCTAAGACGCGGTTTAGATTCCCATTCCCAGTTTGGTTGCTGATCCCTGGTTTCCTTCGGTGAAATTCAGATCTTGTTTTTTCAATCCACGGTTGTTATTTTGTTTAAATATATGATTTAAAACACTGAAAAAACAACATGTCGTTAAAACATATCAACAGATATCAAGTCACACATATATCAACAGATATCAACAGATATCAACAGATATCAAGAGATATCAACAGATATCAACTGTGTGTTGGATCTGTGCTTTTGCCCAGGTGAAGAGATGTCATCCGTACCAACTCCCTCCACCGGGAGCTCAGGTGGATCATCCAGTCCTTGCCGGGTCCAAGGTGGATTTACTTTGGCAAGCATCTTACCATTGGTACCCTCTGGTAAACTAACATAGCTATAGAAAATCGCCATGTTTAATGGGAAAACTCACTATAAATGTGGTATTTTCAATAGCTATGTTAAATTACCAGAGGGTACTGGATGGGTTTATGCAAAGCTTTAGCTCAAGCATTTCTGCCTTTTTCCGGGCTGAGATGGGGCTAAGATGTTGAACGTAGAGGACTCTCTCTTTTTTAGCGAGGAATAAGAATATGCTGGATGGGTCTGTCTGAAAATAGTGTACCTCTAGTTCCAGAGAGGTTCATCATCATTTTGCCCACCAAACATGACAATTATATGCGGTGAATCCCCTATGTTCAGACAGATCCATGCCGCTATGCCGCTTCCTGAATTCAAGCTACTGGATCCATGAAACATATATGGAACTGGGAACATTTGAGATATCTTTGGGCAATGTTGAAAATCAAGAGGAAGTAAATATTTGAGTCTTTGGTTTGGAGTTGACAGCAGGAAATAGCTACATGGCCTTAATTTGCCTTATATTGCCGGTTCTTTGGCTATATGAAGACCTTATATTGCCGGTTCTTTGGCTATATGAAGATGCATCATGTAACTCGTGTAACCTGTGTAAACTGTGTAACTTCTGTACAAGCTGCATGACAGAATGCATCAGATGTCTCTGATGTTCCGGATTTGCTGGGCGGAGGTTCGCAAAAATCGCGGGCTAGGGACGGTCACGTGCCTTATAAATTCAATAAAGATGGATGGCCATGAACCTCCTGAAATGAGTATATTCGAAGTATGAGTTTATGTAAAAACTGATTTTGATGATTTGGACCCCAGGATTTGATACCAGGCTTTATGAAAATCCTTTGATTAATGTCAACCTTGGTTTACTATACCCAAATTCGCTGGTTTCTCATGAATTACCATAGCTGCTATAGCTTATTCAGGGTAAAGGTGACCCATTATTTAGGCGGACTCTAATAGGTTAATTACTATAACCATAGTTTGATATGATGATATGGTCATTTGAACATTACAATTTAGAACTTGATTTTTGCCATATTAACCATGGGTTAAAGTTACCATATTACTGTAACGGCCATTAGAACATTAATTACCATTAGGATACCATAGGTTACTTTGGCCACTCAAAATTTAATTATCATAACTATGGTAAATCATCATAGTGACCATATTAAACTATGGTCATATTAAACTATGGTAAAGGTTCCAACATTTTACCATAGATAGAACATAAAGGTTTGAATAGAACTAGAACCAAAGGCATTCCAAAGGCTAATATGGACATTATAACCATTACTAACCAGTGTAACCATTGAAACCACTGTTACCACTAGTAATTAATCAGTAACTCCATTTTCACGGCCTTGTTCGAAAATAGTATGCCATAGTCAACCATTGTCAACCGAAGCTAACCATATTACCCTCTGGTTATTTAACATAGCCATGGAAGCCATGGCCCATAGAAATAGATGGTTTACCTATGTTTACCTATTAAAAATGGGTGGATCTTTCCATAGTTATGTTAGTCATAACCAGATGGTAACCATATTATCCACAGGTTTTTTACCCCAGATGGCCCAGGTGTGTTGGGTGCCTTGGCTCCGGAGTCGCCACCCTCGATGCTTCGAAGCTTCGCAGGCGCACCTGGCAGGACGACCTGCCGTGGTGAAAATGACATGTAAATATTGGAGAAATTGCGACACCCAACATTGATTCTGGCATTTTTATATGTTTAAAGTTTAGCAAGTATGGGCCAGGGTTTAGCAAATTGATTCCGGTTTGTTTTAATGTGTTGAGATGTGTTTTTTTTTCTGGGAAAGTGGATCTTGTTAGCAAGAAACTTGAAGTAAGACAAATCGTAGCTGTGTGTATACCAATCAATATATGTACGTATGCAGGTATAGGCAATTCAAAATCCATCGATCAAGATATATATATATACATATGTCTAGACATGCTGAGGAGGATAATGTTAAGATTTATGTGCAATGATGATACCATTTGCAGGAGGTCGCGAGGAGAATATCTTGATCATTTTATGATTGCATTTGTTGTTGCAAAGATGCTACGAATGCGGGATTCAAATGTTGTAGACCATCCCCAATTATGAAGCCTTGGGGGGGGCTATAAATCATCCCAAGCATTGAGATACTGATAGGGAACAAATATGTCTTCTTGAAGTAAAAGATGCCGCAACACATGTGGGTTTGTCAGAAAATTAGGGGTACGCCTAAATCTTCTGGTTTAACATCATGTTCCAATGAAATAGCAATGTTTGAGGTATACCTTTCCAGACACACCCATATCTCACTAAGTTTTTTTCACGGGATGCCGTGAGGTTCCACTCATTTACCCAACTGACCTTCACTGGCAGACCATGAAATCAAATGTACCCTGGGATAAATTAACATGGTAACCATTGAAAGATGTGGAAAACCCATTAATAGATGTGGAAAAGCCCCTGGGCTACATGATAACCACAAGTGGGGGGAACGGGGGAACTATTGCGATTTTAATATGTTAATATACGTTACCTCTTGACGCAGCCAAAAAAAACCATATGGGGTGTTTATTTGCACCGAAAAGTTGTACCGCTGCAGGCCCACCGTGAGAAAATGCAATCATCACTCTTATGTTTCATACCATTTGTATCCATTGACGTATTTGATATAGAATGCACTTCATACATTCATATTTTACACCTTATAGATTTCTATTTCTATTTGTATACAGTATACATATATATATATATATCTATTCATATATCCATGTATATAAATTGGCTACTTGTTGATCTTTATATTCTTCTCCATAAAATTATATATATATATACATAGCATAGCATTTCTACGGACGATTTCTCCCCCAAAAACATCAAAAACCGGTGAGGTTTGGAGCATGTGACGTACTTCTCCGATGTGCAGCGCCCTGGAAGTCGACCCCGACCCAGGCGCGTTTCGTGCGATGCCGTGGAAGACTTGCAACGTAGGCCACGATATATCATAGCTATGTGATTGATGTATGTATGTATGTATGTATGTATGTATGTAATGTATGTATGTATGTATGTAATGTATGTATGTATGTATGTATGTATGTATGTATGTATGTATGTATGTATGTATGTATACACAATATATATGTATATAATGTGTATATAATGTGTATATATATATGATGTATATATATATATGTGATGTATATATATATGATGTATATATATATATACAGTATGTATATATATACATATGTATATGTATACATATGTTACATATGTATTACTGTATATTAACAATATGTTTACTGTATATATAATAGATGTTGCTGTATATGAACATTTTTGGAGTGATCAATATGGCCATGTATATTACATGTGTTTTTAATCATGGATACTAGGGATTGATCCATTTGGCTATATCATACTACTACACACATATATATATAAATACGACATCATATTAGCAGGTACTTTAAAAAAGTGTGTGTGTGTGCATATACATACATACGTACGTACGTACGTACATACATACATACATCTATCTATATATATATATACTTACATACATACATATATACATATATATATATACATACATACATGCATACATACATACATACAGACATACATACATACATACATCTATATATACATACATACATTACATTACATTACACTACACTACATTACATTACATTACATGACATTACATTACATACATACATACATATATATATATATATACATACATATATTTACACTATATATATACATATATATACATGAACATTAATCTTTGTTTTTTGCTTTTGACCTCTGGGCCCTCAAGTTCCTGACTTACAAAGTCCAAATCTCAGGCCTTGCTTCCTACATTTAGAGGCGAGCCGGTGGGATGATTCGAAGGGGAAGATCATGACATCTACATGGGATTGTTTATGTGATATTATGGGAAAATCAGAGGATATAACACTGATATATATATATTATAACTTATATTTAACTGATATATAACTGATTATATAACTGATGATTGTATAACTGTAACTGATGTATATATATATATATCCATATGATAATATCACTGGGATGATGTGAATTGGACTGGAGAAACCATCCCTGAGAGTGGCCACACTTTTCAGGTTGATGAACGATTGCACACTATATATATATATAGATAGAACCAGACTATTGGCGAATCATCGGGGGTATGATTGGTAAATGCTCATCCGCTGGCAGCTGTGATGATAAACTGTACCCCCAAATCATGGTCGTTTCTCATCATTCCTCCCATCAAAGTTGCAGTTTTGTAGTATCCTTTTGTTTTGGACAAGCCAAAATTGTGTGTGTGTGAGTATCACTCATGACTTGGCACTCCGGAGTTTTGTGAAGATAGTGCAGATATCTCCCTTTCTATTGTTCTATATATATATATATGTATACACATGTATACACTTGAGGAAGTGACCCGAGTAACACAGAAACTGGAGTGAATTTGCCAGCTGCATCTTTAGTTCTTCGTCAAGCGTTCTTTATCCCAGGAACCTGATGCCTCCCGTAGCCGGGTGGTTGGAACGGGATGTTCTACTTTTCTTTGTGCTCAAGGTAGTACACATCATATATCTTGTGAGATTTTCAGTTCCATCCAATCATCGAGTTTTTTTCGCTTGGGCGGGTTTGCAGGGCTCAAATCTTCAGATATATTCAGATATCTGCAGTACCTAGTTGCTGGTTTGAAGTATGATTTCCCTGCTCCAGGCCGCAAAATGAGTGGCGAGGAACCTCTTTCACCCTGCAGCAGTCCAGGGTTGTGTCCAGGCACTTCGCAGACTGGCCCAGTCCGATCACTTTTGTCTCGAGGTGTTGTGCCCGGATTCAGGCCACAATTGTTTAACATATTAATATTCTGGATATGTTTGGATAATTACAGTCATAGGCCTTTTCTAAACTCCATACAGTGTCTCTACTCCAGCATGTACAGCATAGCTACTCTGGAGATAAGGTATTTGTCCCTTGTCGCCGCTGAAGACCCTAAAATGGCCATGTTTATGGAAAAGCAGAGAATCAACCAAGGGATTTTTGGAGTAGACCTCCTTGCCACATTTCTGTGGGACCTGTGTGGTGCTGAAAGATGACACCTGGGGTGACAAGCGCCCCTTATTGTGACAAGCGGCTCGATGGGGTAGAACTGTCCGCACAACAGGCCCAGTGGGCCAGTGATCGCAGCAACATTAAGAGGACTGGAACCATCAGATTAGGACTGGAACCAGCAAAGAGGGTGTTTTCGAAAGGTTACAAGGGGACCTGTCAGATTGTGTATTTGTGACGACTGTCACTGGTGAGTAACATACTGGCACAGCGGAATAGCATTGAATGGTAATGAATGGTATATATCGGAGATAATGATAGCAAGGATTAAATGAATCGTTTATGACCGTTGTTGGGAGGCTCTAATTTTCCTATTTCTATTTCTGTGACTGACACCACCTGGCAGTGCATTGTTCAAGTAGCAAAACCTGTCGCATCATCCGAGGTTTTGAACGCCGAGGATTCAAGACACTCACATACAGTATGTCTATCTATGTGTAGAAGAGAATATCTGGTTGGTGGTTTGGAACATGAATTTGATTTTTCCATATATTGGGAAGTTCATCATCCCAACTGACGAACTCATATTTTCCAGAGGGGTGGGTCAACCACCAACCAGATATTTTGGTCTCCAAACAAGAGTTGAACTGGTAGAACTGGTGTAGATAAATTCACATGAACTGACAAATTCTGGTTGCTGGTTTCAAACATTTTTTCCATTTCATACATGGGATGTCATCCTTCCCATTGACGAACTCATATTTTTCAGAGGGGTGGCTCAACCATCAACCAGAATTGGTTGATTGCCAAAGGATGTTTCACGGCGACATGCATCTTTCTGATTCATTGGGATAGCACCAAGGTTTTTGTTTGGTTCCTATAGGTAGGGGTGATGGTGACTCCTGGTGTTTGTTAAGCATCAACTGCTTTCTTGATTACACATCCAAGATCTTCGAAGTTAGGATGATGTGAGTTTTAATTTAAGCAAACTTACATAAATGTGGAAAATCCACTGTGTGTAGATCATGTCCCAACGGAAGACCGTTGGGGGATTTCCACCATCTTCAGCAACCCCAAAAGGATAGAAAAGCAAACCACTATTAGGAGAGTGGATCACTGTTCTATCGTTTTGGTGGTTACTATATGTACTCTATATACATAATTCAATAATATTCAATATATAATCATTGATATATATATATATACACATTCTCATAGACTTAGACATGGCATCACAGAATCCATGTGTGAAATCCGAAGCTCAACAACGTGTCCCATCAAGGCATAGCTTGCGGCATTTCAGGCAGCGCCTTTGGCACCTTTGTGCCAACGCTGAGACTGCGGTTGCCGTCCTTGGAAATGAACTTCACACAGTTTTCTGGAGACATCATGGAGTATTAATAATGACCATTGATTAACAAGCAGTAATGATCATTGATTGATAGTGATTAATAGACTAAATGAATCTTAATGATCAGTAATGATGATTATATACCCTCTGGTAAACATACAAATAACTATGGAAAATCACCATGGTTAATGGGAAAATCAACTATTTCTATGGCCATTAAAAAAAAACTTTTTGTATGTTTACCAGAGGGTACATATGGACATACAACTAAAATCAACAAACAATCCACACATGTTGTGAAGATTCGGGATAATTACAACTGGATAGGAGGGCCAGTTTGTCCAAGTGTTTGCTGGTTTCAATCATGATTTTTTGAAAAAGCCTAGAAATGGGAGGATCATCTCAGAAAAAGAGCTAATTTTCCGGGTTGTAATTCCTGTGATGATTGTGATGCACCAAGGGTGATATCTAAACTGATAACACTTTCCATGGCGGCCATAGGCCTATTCTTCGGTGGAACAGGGTGCCTCTTTTGCTACAACTTGGGACATGTACTTTCTAGCAACAACAATCAGATTCGAAATGGTGTATCAGCGTATCAACAACTGGTTTTTGTTTTAGTGTGTGTTCAAGTGCTTATGAGACTATATTTTTTTCTGTCAGGCAAACCAGCCGACAGTCAACAGATGAGTATATCCAACAGGGACTATGTTTTTTGCACGCAGAATTTCACACGCCTGAGCTTTCCGAAAGTGATTCATGGTCATACGGCCATAGCTTCCTGCAATGTTTGGAACCTGGACATTGTGATGGGCAATCACAGTGTGAATACCTGGCGTTATTTTTCAGTCTACCCTCTGGTAAACATACAAATAGCTATGGAAAACCACCATTTTTCATGGTAAATCAACTCTAAATCAACATGTTCAATGGGTAAATCCACTATAAATCACCATTTTTAATGGGTAAATCCACTATAAATCACCACTTTTAATGGGTAAATCCACTATTTCTGTGGCCATTTAACTGGGTGGAGCCAACGACTGCAAGCCGCACCTCGCAGCCGCATGAAATTCGACTGTGGCCCCAAGGGTTGCGTTTTTCAGGTGCTCCTTAGCCAATTCTGGAGATGATATGATATGATGTTTGATTGTTTATTGTTTGATGGATATCATATCATATCATTGTTTAACAATTGTTTATTGTTTGATATTTATTGTTTGATGTTTGATATGATGTTTGATATGAATGGATGGGATGATGTCTTACTCTTGAAAAAAGCGATTACTTGTAGAGCCAACTAGGACTGTAGACCTGAATATTGTATAATATTGCGCAATTCAAATATCTACGCCACATTTTGTGTATGTGTCTTGCAATTGCATATATATATAATACATATATCATATATATAGTATATATATAGACATAATATACACGTGAAAGTGTCGCACAATCCCAGTGATACTGTTCTTCCCAAAGGTGCCTACTCCAATCTACAAAACTAAATTCCAAAGCTGAAGACTCATGCAGCCATGCTTCGAAGATGATGATATCCAAAGGGATTTGTTGATAACGACACCGGCGCCAACGTTGTCGGCGTCGTTGTTGTTGTTGATGATGTTGATGATGATGACATGGCTGATGATGCACTTGTTTCTTAGCACCCTTGTCCGAGCCATGGTTTGGTACACCGTTTCCAGTTTCACCGGCCCTGGCCCTGCAGTGGCTCGATGCATGACAACAAATTGGCGCGGCGGCGCCTGGGGTGGACGCCTTGTTCATACTGTGAGATTTCGGAGTGGACAACTAATTCATGCCGATTTATGCCAATTCTAGAGCATGAAACTTTTGAAACTACCATAAATGTCTGAGAATAGAGAGTTACATAGGCTTACATCTAAAAAAACAATCGCCATTTTGACGGATTATTGCAGGTTATTGCGCTATTCCGTATCCTTCAAAATATAGTTGTTATCCTTGACGATTGCTGATGGACCGCAGCCAACACTCAACGCTCAAAGTCTGGTCCAGCGACAAACAGCACATCCAACGGCCCGCGTGTGCCTTGGCTCCCGTTGGGAGTCAGGGGTAAGGGCCATGGCCCATGGGGACCCCCAGATTCTGGTATGTTTTTTGTGTATCAACATGTATTAAACTGACTAAACTGACCATGAAACCACAGTGTGTGTGTGTTTAGATTCAGATTTTAGTATGGTTTAGTCATGTTTTGAGATGTTCATTGTATTTGTATATTGATATGTATTGATCAAGCATGAAATGTTTGGGTACTTGATTTTTCACACATACCGGCCTGGCCCCTACCCAAGTGAATTGGGTCATGGATGGTCAGGGAACATCATTTCAGACCTATACTTCATGGATGTACTAACCCCCCCCAGTCACTGGAGGTTTAGTGCAACATGTATATTATATACATATAATATATATATACATATGATAGGAAACCAGACAAAGCCAGATCTCTTGAATTCCGCAGGGGTCAACAAAAACAGTTGAAACATGTATGTTACATATATGTATGTATATATATATATCGATGTAGGTGTATATCATTAGAGACTTGCCACGATGTCCCCAGGCTGTAGCCCGGGGGCGTTTCAGGTTGACCATGCGCCCTGAAGTTGTGGTGTCGTTGCTGACCATTGTGACGGTTGATGCATCTCAGTTGCAGTAGAGGATGATTGATGCTGCTGCTTTTGGAGCTGTGGGTTCAAACAAAATGGCTTCAAACAGCAATTTGGAGAGTATAGTCAATGTAGTGTGTGTATATATATATAAGTTGATAGATGATAAATGCAATTAGAAGCTGATATCTACATACAGTGTACCATACGGTAGCGCTTTCAATCAGACGAACAACCGTCGGTAGACAAGATCTATGATGTTTGCGGAGCTGTCCTTACATGGGGATGGGATCAACACCTTTCAGACTACCCATATTTTGATATATAAGCTGGGGACTCACCATCCATTAACCAGCTATGACCCACTTAGGGTTCCTAGGACAGTACTTTCTTGCTTCTTCGATGTTACTGGTGGTTGGTGTCAATCTCCACCCTGAGGGACCCTGCCTGGATTGATGAGATTTGATCAGCAGCATATATATGTACTACTACAGATATTGTACTACTATCATATTGCTAGCCACCAGCCACCATACAATATCTGTATATAATAGTGGCTAGCTGATATACCATAGTATAATATCTATATAATATCTACTAATATCTGGTTTGATCTGCAGAATTAAGATAGATATGATGTAAAAGCCACCATTTGTAATATTTGTAGGTTATCTTACCTGATGAAACCGTTGGTTGCTGTGATCTCCTGTGTACATTTCATGTAGTCACCAAGTTATTCCAGGGTTGCCCATGTTTTCCTCCCTTGTACCTGGGGTGTTGGGAGCAACCAAGTCATTACATTCTTTTGTTCAATGGACACAGCTTAGGCCATCCGCAGTCTGGCACTGTCGACTGACAGCCGCGACAACGGAGACGGCCGTGCTGTGAATGCGCTGCCAGCGTCACTAGCATTAGAGCAGGTGGTACAGGCAATGCAGGGTGGTACCTACGACCTTGATTCTACAGCAAGTTGGTGGTGTAAACATGTTTCAACCCTGTTTGGGATGATAGTCCCCCAATGACTCATACTTTGGGGATGGGTTGAAAGCACCGCTCAGATCATGTTTGAAACATAAGGCCTTGATTTTGGGTCCCTTACAATGGTGGCTCAACTCTCCGTCCAACTTTGGGAGTTTCACGCAGTTTTGAAGCAGGCCTCCAATGTAGGCTTGTTTGACCCCGCCAAGGTGAAAGATGCCAAAATGGCAAGTGTTTGTTTATGTTTGTTTGTCACTTTGGGCTAGGACCCAACATCCAGCAACAATCAAAAATGGTAATGGCAATGGTTTTCCCTTTGAGGATTGGCATCTGGGAGCCAGTTTGTGTCAGTTTGAGTCACTAGCAGTTGATTCGATCAGTCCTGGTTTCTGCAGGTAACATCACCAGAAGAATTTTGGGGAATCCAGCATTTTAGCCTCATTGGAATCCAGCATTTTGTGGATGGCTTCATGAAGAAAAGAAGCTTCCCACCATTTGAGCGATTTATTAACGCCCGGAATCTTAGGAATTATAGTGCCTACCTCCATGCTTTCGACTTGGTGGAGAGGCGGGGATTGCTGGGGCTGCTGGAAGATGCTGAAAGTTGATGCAGATTGCCTTTACTCCAAATGGTTGGGGGATTGGGGGTTTCAGTTTTGGCTTTCCATCACCCCAAAATGACATGACCACATGACTGAACTGACTATATCACATTTTTTAAAACCCAAACTTTTGTGATGGGTTGAAACATGTTGGAAACATGTTGAAACCAAGATTTTCCCTTATTTTCCAAACCTGTTCCAGCATTTGTCCCATCGAAAAAAAAGGCCCCGCTTGCCCTCAAAAACACGACGAGGCGCATGAAGGAGCCGGAAGAACTGCGCCGTGAACGGGAGGAAGCCTTTTGGAAGAGGTGAACTGATGCCTTTTGGGGAAGATCATGTGAATCATGGGATTGAACCACCAGTGGGCCATGGGGAAAGTGTGGATATAATTTCCTATATATTCCCATATATTCCCATGATTTTCCAGACAGATCGTGGATATAATTAATGGGGATACCTGAGGGTAAACTGTTTGGTGTGGGTTTAACCATTGGTTAACGCCTCGGAATTTCTGATCTACAAATGCTGGTGGGAAACACATCGAACTGTTAGTTTACTGGAGGGTACACTTTTTGGGATGTAGTGAGGCTATAAGTATATAATTATATATATACACGCGGATATCAAAGTATTATAATATATATATAATGAGAATGTAAACTATCAAACACTTGGATAGAATGTGGATACAATGGGAATTAATGAGACATTCAATCGACAATAATCTTCACTGGAAACCATGGGTTTTTGAGCTCCCAGATTGGTTGGGGTTTGCTGTAAGATTTCCCATCCAATTCTGGGAACTGAACCGGAGCCGGTAGGAAGTGCAGCGAATGGGGAGCCGTTTGGAGTTACGATCATAAGAGTTTCCCAACCAGACCCATAGGATCCATGGTGCTGCTATGTATGGTAACATGGATCCCATCAATATACCCCCTTTATGTTAGCATATATATACCAGCACCATGGATCCGTCATGGGATATGATAGAGGTAGATATGATCGTATAGTGCTGATCCTTCGGATTCAGCAAAAAGAATGCGTCAGCGCGAGTCTTGACCACTAACAAATATCTATTTTTTTGCCAGGCTTTAAGGTAGATATGTTGGAACTAGTTATATAATGGGGTTTATAAATGTTTATAAACCAACAAACATAACTAAGGGCCACCATCTTGTAGAGGAGCCGTTCGTCACTCAGGTCAAAAAGAAACAATAGGGTACAGCAACCACATTTTGAACAATGACATGGAAAGTTATAGTTATGCAATACAAAGCGGTACTTGTTTAGCAAGCAAGTTAGGAACCATATTTCATCATATTTCACAACTGGACTGAACAGCTAGTACACACACAACCAATCAGAATCTACACTTGAGTCTGTTATATTGTGAGGAGTATGAGTCTGCATTTAGATACACACCTATTTGAAGGTTCGTAAACTCATTTGTTTATTGACGTTCTGTCTATGCTTTTGGCCGCCACGCCTCAATGTGAAGCCCTATTTTTGGTTGGGTAAACCACCACATGTTTGATGATCTTCCAGCTGTTCTTTTCTTTTCAATAAAAGCCACTTAAACCCTGGTTTTGAGCTTAACCCATCTTAACCCATTTCTGGTTGCTTCAAGACCCGATTCCCGTTAAGTTCCCGGTACGCCGTGTGTCGCCCTTCGGCGCGCCAAGCAAGCCCTCAGGCACCGCTTGGCTACAGTGCAAAACGCCAAGTTGCAGGGACGCTGGAGAGCGGCGGCCAGTGACTTGGCTGACATGGAGGTGAGTTGGGATGTTTGATCAGTTACTATGGGAATCTATGGGATGTTTCTGGGTACCCTCTGGTAATTTGTTCCAGTTCGCTATTGAAGCCATGGCTCATTCACAGTTGATATTCCGATTCCAGATGGTGATTTTCCGAGCCCTGGAATCATGGGAATTGGATTCGGGGAATCATCCCCAAATGCTGGCCTTCAGGCTAGTGAATTGTTGTAATTCAACCATATGTTTCATCAGAAAAAAATCATGCAACACTATGAATATATAATGAATAATAATGAGTCACTACTATTGATAAACTACTGTTATCTATAGTGATTGGATATCCCACTATAGATAACACTTATGGGATGATAGATAAACCTCTGACGACATTAATGTCAACCCCGGATTAATAAACCTTGGTCTATTGATTCATTATTGTAGCCTCCAAATGGTGATAATATGATATTTGATGAGTACCACCCCCCAATTAGACAGCCGTTTGGGGTTTATTCATCCAGGGTTGACATTAGGATTAATGATTGATGGTAGATAGATGTTTTTTACTTGGAATGGTAAAAAAAACATCAGAAATCTCCTTCCAGCTATAGCAGCTATTTCTGCGTTCACCATGGATCCCGGGCGCCGAGATTCTGTAGGGAATGATGACTAGCCTTCCTGCGAATTCTATGGGATGACCATGGGATGACCATGGGATGACCACATGTAAAAACACTGTCATTTGATATTTTTGATCATGGCTCACCAATGGATAGAACTGGCAAGAGGGAGATGCAGCTACTTGTAGCATGATACAACATGATACAACTATAAATGATTGAGAATCATAGTGACAGGCGCGTCTGCGTCATGGTGGGTCTTTCGCGCAACGCACCTATCCGTTTGGGTCGTATGTTTTCCTATTTGCAAGTCCTTCATAGTAGGTTCTGAATTTGGATAGGTTACCAGCCTACAACAGTGACCACTAGCATTGTCAATATTTTTTACTAGGCCTTCTGTACTCAAAGTTAAACATGAATATTGAATCCATTTCCTAATGGAACAACAACGGATTAGTGCAACTGTTTTCCAACTATAATGCACAAATGTCCTGAACCGTTGATAGACTCAATATTTCCATCATAGTCATCAGATACTCCATTCTTTTGTCAAAACATGTCTATATGTGTCAGAGTACTCTAAAATAGCTCATCATAGTCAGAATACTCCTGTCACCATTAATCACCATTAACGACCATTCACCACCATTGATCACGCTTAACCATCATTAATCACTATTAAATCACCATCAAATCCCATTAAATCACCATTACCATCTGGTTATTTAACATAGCCATGGAAAGATCCACCATTTTTAATAGGTAAACCATCTATAAATGGGCCATTTTCCATGGCTATATTAAATAACCAGATGGTAATCACAAAAAGTCCTCAGGTTTCTCTTCAGAATCTCCCCAGAGATTCCATCTGCTGACCTGACCGGGTCAGGTCATCTCTTTGACGCCACGGAGGGGGAGATGCGCGCCATGATGGGCTACAAGCCATCGCTGTCACATCGCCATCAGGCAGACCCAGCAGGATGCTCCGGGATGATCCTATGAGTCATATCTTCATAGGGTTTCCGGGATGATTTCATATGAACGTATATGTGTATACTGTATATACGTTACATATATGTATGCATATATATATATACACATAATATATATATATATATTATATATGTATACATATATATATATGTATGTATATATATATATATATATGTTCAACTCTTTCCCAATCTGTCCCATATTGATATCATATGATCATAGGCCCAATATCGTAACTAAACTGTACAGTTATTGAGTTCAAATAAAAGTGGTTGGAAGAGAGCGCTTCGGAGCATTTGGTGTATCCGCCATGGTATCCTAACATGATCAGCCATGGGGAACCAAATGATGGTCATCACGGTCATCATCGTTACTATATTAATGGCTACGTCTTTTGGAAATCCCCCATGATGTCCCATGATTTCCCATGATTTCCTCAGGATTCAGATAGCATCATGGGAATCATGGGTATCTCATGGGAGATACCCATTGATTCTGGGAGATACCCATGGTGATTAATGGTGATTAATGGTGATTAATAAGATTTTCATGTTCACATCATGGGAAGGTTTAGTAATTCTATCATATTTCCCATGGTTTCCCTCCAATAAATTGACATAGACCCTGAAAATGGCTAGTGTCCATCCACTAAGCTTCCAAGCCTCAACTTGTGGAAGGGTCAAACTATGTCAAACTGTTAATTTACTGCAGGGTATTTCCCATGGTTTCCCCACAATTCAGATGGAATCATATAGAATCATGGTAAGATGTATGGCTTAATGCCCCGTGCTCGGGTGTTAAGTCCCATCCTGCGAGATGCTAGGAAGAAGAAGAATCATGGTAAGATGTTCATCTTCGAAAGTAATTCTATGATATGTCCCATGATTTCTCATGCTTTCCCAGCGACAAAGCTCCATCTTTTTGGGGGGATTGCCGAAGGGTATCTCCCAGAATCACCATTAATCACCACTAATCACCATTCAATCCCATTAAACCCCTAGTTGTTGATGGTTAAACATCCATTTCCCAGCCATTTTTTTTAACCACCATTGATCACCCAAAAAATCACCATTGATCACCATTGATTACCATCAATCAACATGAATCACCATCAATCACCGGCAAACACCATGATTAACCCATACGAATCACATCTAATCACCATTATTGTCATATCTACTACTCACCATTCACCCAAATGTCACCATTATCGATCAATAGGAACCATCAGTTTTCTTCTTCACTGTTCAATCCCATTATAAATACCTCTCAAACATCCCCATGAATTATCAATTCAATTACTGTGAAAATCTCTATAGTTAATATTTACAATATTGATAGTTAATTTTCCCATTCAAAACGGTCATTTTCAATACCCATTTCTGTAAAAATCCCTACGGTCAGTTGTTGAGACTTAAATCCCTCCATTTCCTCCATGAAACTGACGGGTTACGCAACGGCAGGGTCTGAACTTCCTGAGCACTCACGAGGAGGCGCTAAATCTCAGCGTTCCACAAGGTCTGGTGCTGCCTGAGGCCCTGGGGAAATGCTGGGGAAACGATGGGGAAATGATGGGAAAATGCTGGGAAAATGCTGGGAAAATGGGAATTGAAATGAGACTGGGATGGAACTGGAAGAATCGATCAGAAGACCCATAGCTCCCCTGGACCAAAGGAAGGCATCCATGGCAGAATTTCAACATGAGGGTACAGGATTTTCAGACGGAGGCATATGAAGGGGTGGGGTCAGAGCCCATATGAGCCCATGGAGAAGTCCGTTGATTGCTGAAGATCAGCTGGAGTACAGGTCAGCTGCAGGGTGGGCTTGAACCTCCATACTTAAGGTTTGATCGCCTGAACCGCGATAGGTAAACCTTCAAATTTTGGGCTTAAGATGATTTTACCATGTTTTACCAGATTGTCCCAATTTCTTGCAGCTCAAGACATGTCAAGACGTCCTTCATGTTGACCCTGCAGGAATCAAAACAAGGCGAGGCAATATGGCTATGGACCAATACTCGTCCCATGACTAGGAGGATGAACAGCCATATAATAGCCATATAATAGCCATATAATAGCTATCAGCTATCCTAGGTTATTTAGATATTATATAATAGCCATATAATAGCCATATGATCTATTGATCTATATAATAGCTATATGATCCTATATAACCTAGGTTATTTTACCAGCTATTTTGATGTTAGGACCCATCCCAATGTATCCCCATATCTGGCAGGCTATGGACTGGCGACAGCGTGTGACCAGCTCCAATCTGGTTCGCTCGCAGGCGTCGGGACTGCTGAAACACTGTCCCGTTTTATGTTGAACCCGCGGTTCTTTGAAGGTCATCAAGCTCAAAAATCATATGTACAGTTTATGTACTGTATATATATATATTATATATATATGATGATCAACTGGCGAAATAGTTATAGATTGGTTCTGTTTGGTTTATCCTTACCACTTTGATTTTATGCCATTTCAGATGAAACACCCCCTGCAATCTTGAATGGATTTGCCAGATTTTGCGGAGCAACTGTGGCTCCGCCTAGGTTTCAAAGAGCATAAAGTGACATGGGATTTGGGTTTCATGAAAAGCTGCATCGTGTTGAAAGCACCCCAATTTCCACTTCTCGCCTGCAAAAGATCATGGAAACCAAGCTGGCTTTACTCAGTAGCAAAGATGTCTTCCAAAACCCAGAATGTGTTCGTTTTTTTGAAATGTGGTCCTATCGTTTCTTATAGTATACTATATTTTTTCATATTCAATCCCATAGTCACATGCCATAGTCATATACTTTAGTTGCTATATGTTGCTATTAACCTCTACTAAGCCACAAATTTCTTGGTCAGTCCTCAGGGATCCTGTGGCTCCTGCTGGGCCATCAGCTGCCAGACTCTGGAAGACATGGGATTCAATGGCCTTTAAAAAAAGCATGGAATATTTATAGATATAAAGATATATATATATATAGGCAGAATATAGATGTAATACATACTCTATCTATATACTTATAGATTCTAGATAGTTGAAGTGGATAGTTTAATATGATATATAGATAGAGTATGACTATAAGAATATGTATGTGAATTATGGATAATTATGGTGTATATGTGGATTTCATATCGATTTCGTATGGAATTTTCATGCTATATATATATATATATATGTACATGTATAGGATATATAAATGCATAATGAACACGTGTACATTCATTATCGTATTTTATTTATGATATCAAAGGCATTTAGGTGTATATGCATATATGATTATGTATTGTATCCATATAGATAGATAGATAGATAGGGATATAGTCATGCTGAAGTAAATAGAATATGGATTTTTCAAAGAATCCTCACAAAATACGGACTGTTTTTGAACGCGTCGGGCGGATAGATACCATTAGATACCTGCGCGTTATTTTAAGGGTCATGCATAGATCACCCTGGTATTGGTATTTACAGCATTTTCATGTTTCATGGTTTTTTGAGGCCTTCACGAACTAACTTTGTTTTCCATCAAATGACGAGAGAGTTGTGGAAGTTCGAATGTTTGGTGTGGATCCATGTTGTTGATATCCATGTGATAAGATCATTGGGGGACATGCTGCAGCACAAATGCCTCGAATCAGAAGATGTTTTGGTTGCTGTGCTAAAGGACATCGAATAGAACGATGTCCGACGCGGGCAGGCGCTGAGATCAGGAAACTTCGAAAGCTGGTGAGAACTCAACAGGCCATTTCGAAACCTGGTAGAGAGATAAGACCTCGAAGAATACAAAGGTATTCAAACATGCAACCAAAGAGTACACAAAGAAGAGAACGAAGATAATGATATGTGCCGAATCTGGTCGAACCTCTAGAGAGCCTGCAGAAAAGGAGATGACTCTGCGTGTGAAAAAAGCCTTGCGAAGCCTCGAGACATCTTGGGATGTGTTACTTGCAGCGCCCCACCAAATGGGGTAGATGCTCCAAATGTAACCTAGCAATGACACCTCACGTCTACAAGAGTGGGAAAGAACGTGGGCAATGTTGGATGTTATGTTCTGGTTTCTGGAAGTTCACTCAAAGTGGTGCCCGCAGATGCTTCAATGATGGAAAGTTAACCAGATACCAGGAAACCTACCTTCCTGACCATTACAAAAGGCAACTCCGTGGAGTTGAAGCAGCTCTTGGAAGAGGAGCTGAGAAGAAATAGGTCGCAAGTTAAACAGAAGAGGTCGCAGCCCGAAGAAGCAAAAACGACTGTGAAGCTGGCAGGGTCGGTGATGCGTCCTTCATGTGGTTGGTTTTGTGTGGATTTGCTGAAAAGTTTGCAGGTGTTATGTTGATGTCTATTTGTTGGATCAGAAACATTGTCTGTTTCATTTGAAGGACGGCACGGGATGGATGTTATTAGCCCCCCCCCACCCACCCCATATTAACAATGTCGTGCGGGTATCTACGCGCCCGACACCTTTTTGAAAAGTCCACCTTCTATCTACTTTGAATGACTATATATATATATTCGACTATAGATATTTATTATAGACAATTACCATTTTATGCGTTGACAATTATGGTAATATGAACTGATACTCTATATCGGAGGTTCTTAAGTCACGGGGAATCCTCAAGTCACCAAAAGCGTTGATACTAAAATGGTCTAATGACTTGGATGATTTGGGGGTACCCTCATTTTAGGAAACCTGTATACACAATATAGGGATAATTAGGATAATGTATAAATAAATAAATAAGTAAATAAATAAATAAACATATATATATATATTTACATAGGGAAAAATATAGGGATAATAGGGACATATATATAGGGATATTTGCATATGTACACATAAAAATATCTATATATATAATATTATATATATATAATTTTGATTTATATATAGTTATACATAGTTTTCCTTTTTTTGATTACGTATAGTTAAATATCATTATATACATGTATATATATATATATATAGAGTGACGATATGATCATGATGCATACCATACTAGGGATGGTATGATAGTAGATGTGCATATATATATATATATACCATGTATAGTAACCCCCAAAAAGATAGAAACTAAAAACATGTATCACTGCTTTTAGAAGGATTTTACTTGTCTATCTTTTTGGGGATGAGTCTGAATCGTTACCCCCATAGTAGTAGTAGAAGATAATCATTATAAAAAAATATCCTCAGTAAAACAACTATTAGGGATGGATACTTAAAAAGGGATTGCACTATGAATAGAAACCCCCAAAAATATCAACCTGCCAGTAGTCAAGGTACTTGGAAGTCTTGGACGGGAAAGGATTCAGTGATGGGATATGCCCCAGTGACTACTATGGATTGCGAATATGTGTGAGTCACTTTCTGTGATGCACTCCAAAAGATTGTTTAAGCATCGAAGATGGGACATTCAATGTGACTTGTCTTGGTCCTAGTACGTCCGAATCATTTCGAATCTATGTTGAAGACGTTTGTGGGTCACTTTGAGTCCGTGGAAACCAACGCCTTCTGAAACGGGTCACCTGCAACTTGTCAAAAGGCTCCAAGCAGAGTCACAGCGTTTCAGTTCCCAAGAATAGTTGTTTTTTTGCTCTAAAGTATTCCAAGCACTATCATCTAATGATGGGCCCCTTATCACAGCCATAGCTTCCCCCAGCACAGCTGTCGGTGGCCCTCATGTCATGGCCGTTTTGGGCTGCTCAGGTTCCACTAATGCTCTGGAGATGCACCTGGAGATTTATGATCCCCAATCCGTGGGAGGCCCCGTCAACTCGAAAAAATCAGGGTGCTGATGAAGAAAAATAAGATGAACAGAATGGATGATCCCAACTAGTTCAGGTAAACATGGGGATGGCTGAAAATAGGTCACTTCTGAAAAAAAAAATGTGGGTTCATACTAGAAGTGAGCAGCCACTCGCGGCTCCAAGTGAGAAGGTATTCCTGAGCCAGGAACAGTGTGGCGTGTATTTGGATTGAACAAAGGTGTCCGTAGGGATTGGGTGACCTAGAAAAGTGGACCTTGCGCTCTCATAGAATCCCAGCCAAACTAAAGTTTTGGCTTAGGTTGTTAGGGTCTTGGGTGGGAAATGAAGACTGTTGTTTGTGACCAAGTAGGATCATATTAGTAGTTTTGCTTGGGATTCGAACTCCTGAATGGAAGACAATGATTGTCCTATTACTTGCTATTATGATGTCCAACCTATGTTTTCGCTTCCGTAAGTTTCCGTGGTTGTCTATCATAATTTCCTGTTCAAGATTTAAGCCATTACTGCAAGGTTTTTGCTTGGTATTTGTGTCAGTTTCAACCCGTCAATTCTTGTGCCATAAATTATCGAATGTGTCAATACATTTCAGAACAATGCCCACATCACTATACTATGTATATATTTGCAGTGTATGTACGTATTCGTCAGTAGAATCCCCATGTTTGTATCAATGTCTATCGGCAACCTATCACTGTTGCTGCTTTAGAACAGCTTACTTCTGGACAAAATCTCCATTTGGTCATGTTTTTTCCGGCACATCTCCAAATAGGTTCGTATGAAATAGGGTACACCCAAATTTGATGGTTTATCACCCTTTGCATTTTGGAGGTATCCCCCATTTTCAGACATACCCAAATTAAATGTCACTCATATCATGTTTTTTTATACTGCCATACCCATTATATGCTCTTGATGGTTATACATTACATGTTGAAATGTTTCTGGGTGAACTCCCTATTTTCCCCTGAGTTTTTGTTTGTATATATTCAAACCAGCTGGTGCCCCATAGTTATCCAAATTTGTTTATAAATCCAATTTCATTTGGGTTCATGGTATACATATATATATATATACTGTATATAATATACATATCTATATATATATACATATATATAGATATACATATATATAGATCCACATATATATATACATATATACTGTATATAATATACATATGAATATTTATATATATATATATATTCAAATCCTGTTAAACAAACACACTTACCCTCTGGTAATCAAACATGGCTTCCTGGAAAATCCATTATTTATAGATATTCACCTCCATTTATATACAATGCTCACTTGCTATGTGTGATTACCAGAGGGTAAACCAACTAGAAACGGGATTTGTTTCTGGGATAATATAGGAGCTCAAGGGATTTCATAAGATTTTCCATGATTTTCCATGTTTTTTCCATGATGTTTCCATGTTTTTCCATGATTTTCCCATGATTTTCACATGATGTTTCCATGATTTTCCATGTTTTTGTCCATGATTTTCCCTGATTTTCATATGATTGTCCATGATTTCTCGGAGATTCTCACCTTGAATGTCTCTCCTGCAGGTCACCTGGCGCTAGAGCAGATGATCCTTTGCACGCCCAACAAGCGCCACTGCGGGGGGCAGGGAGGTTGCACCGGGGCGACGGCAGAGCTGGCGTTTCAATTCGTGAAGGACGCCGGAGGATCGGGAGATCCAGGTTTTTCTGATTCTGGAGATACATTTTTTTGACTGGATATAAGAAATGATTCTGGAGATACAAATATGACTGGATATAAGAAATATTACTATGAGTTTGATGTTTTTGAGTACCTTGTTGGAATTATTTGTCGGTTTGTCTCAAAATGGGTGGCTTTGCCCCTCGCAAGTTAGTTACATGATGACCTGTGGATTTTGTTGGCGGGTCCGCCCCACACATTTATATAATATTATATATATATGTATGTAATCATGATAATCTGTGATTCTGGTTCTGGCTAAAGCTTGGTTGGCTAGTCTTTTATCACACATATATATATATATACTGTATAAATATTATACTCTATATACATGTTTTCTGCTTGGCATGAAAATAAAATGGACCCCTGTGAAGAGATTCCTCCCCGGATCATCTGCATGGTATGGGTCAGTAGCAAATAAGCCGCCCCCCGCTATTGTAGACTGTGTTTTTTGGTACTTTGCAAAAAAAAGTCAGTACCTCCCAAATGATCAGGGTATGGAGTGTTTTTTTTTCCTTCGGTGATTTTTTGGGAGTGTCTTGGCTTAAGAGTTTCATACAGAATGTCTATGGGTCTATGACATACGACTTATAAGACAGAGAGAATACGGGGTCAATGTGAATTGGAGACATGATACAGCGCCACATGCCAAAGAAGCAACAAATTGCTGGAAAAGAACTTGGAATCCAAACATGGTCATTTCCAACAGCAATATAATATTTCATCACCTCAATCTTGATTGTTGCCTGTTTTTCAGGAAGGCGGCAATTAGATGGAAGGGAGCCAAGAATACGCAAAATATATGGATATGGAACTTCTTTTTGCGTGTTAAGGGTAAAAAAAACTTAGGATTTCTAGTGGACAGGGGTTGGTAAATGCTCCATGCGTTTTTAAACATCACCCTCTGAGATGCATCTAGGCAAGACGAACACCTCCAATTCGGTGAACCCCCCAATAGGTGGAAAATAAGCCCTTGTTAGTCCTTGGTGGCTAGTAATATATGGGGGGTTCCTAAATTGGGGGTACCACCCAATAGCTGGATGGTTTGGATGATTGAGGGGTACCCCCATTTATGGAAATCCCCATATCTGAATATACCTGACCATTATAAGAAGTCAACCATCACCTTTGATGAAATCCTCATTGAGGTACCTGGAGGTTCACCCTATGGCTGAGGTCCACTTATAGCTGAGGTGAACTTCTATGTAAAGATTCCCTCAGCTATAAGCATCATTCCAGATATTACTACAGTTGAATATACTAACCTCAGTCATTGCCTATGATTTTAGTACCATCATTGGGGATGATATTCCTTTACAATGGTTGGTTTGTAAACTATAGTTGGGTTCTAAACATTAACATCATTAACTATAGATATATTTACCATAAAACATAGATATATTTACCATAAAACATAGATATATTTACCATAGTTACAAACCAACTTATCTATGTCAAGTTACCCTTCCTCCAGGACAAGGGTCTATCATTCCAAGACGATCAGCCTGCTCTGACCGCGCCGGCCTGCGAAGGGCCTCCGATCTATGGAGCCTTGGGCTGCGAATTGTGGACACTTCGTGAGGATGGAGAAATGCCAACATTTAATATGACAATTTATCCAACCATTTCATGGGATATATACGTATTTATATATATATATATATTTATGTATATATAATTGCATGTCTACATATTTACATACATACATTATGATATATATATATATATATATGTGATGGGATAAAGCCATTCAGCCATTCTTGCGTGGTTTTTGGGGGTGTTCCTTCCAGGATGCTTCTCTCTTGGTACGCATTGCGGGGGGAGGTGCTGCGCCCTCCCCCCTGCACCCCCCCACCCGCTCTTATTTTTAAACCGGTTCCCCTTGCTACCTACTATTCCTTTCTTTTTGCATAAGCATCTACGCTGCCAGGTGAGCGCGGCACAGCCGTGGGAAAACGGCCATTTCCGATTCCAAATGACAGGTCATCTATAAATGAGTAGGTGCCAGGTTGGCCATCAAAAGTATGGGATATAGTGGGGATATCGCTGATGAATTATCAGTTATGTTTGTTGGTGTATAATGTTGGTTCCTGATTAGTGTGTGCCCCCCCCCTCCCCTAAACTATATCTGGACTCTCTTTAAAGTAGAAAAGCAAAAATTTTCTTCCCAAAAGAAAAACATATCCTCGATTAAGTAAGGATTTCAATTGGCTACAATCGAAATCTAATTAAGATTGTTTTTTTTGCCGATGAAGTTGTGGTATTTGTAGTACTTGTAGACTTGTAGTACTTGTAGTACATGTAGTACTTGTAGTACTTGTAGTACTCGTAGTACCCGTAGTACTTGTAGTACTTGTAGTACATGTAGTACTTGTAGTACTTGTAGTACTTGTAGTACTTGTAGTACTTGTAGTACTTGTAGTACTTGTAGTACTTGTAGTACTTGTAGTACTTGTAGTAATTGTAGTAATTGTAGTACTTGTAGTACTTGTAGTACTTGTAGTACTTGTAGTACTTGTAGTACATGTAGTACTTGTAGTACTTGGAGTACTTGCAGTACTTGTAGTACTTGTAGTACTTGTAGTACTTGTAGTACATGTAGTACTTGTAGTACTTGTAGTACTTGTAGTACTTGTAGTAACTTGTAGTACTTGTAGTACTTGTAGTACTTGTAGTACTTGTAGTACTTGTAGTACTTGTAGTACTTGTAGTACTTGTGTAGTACTTGTAGTACTTGTAGTACTAGTACTTGTAGCTTGTTCTTTAATAAGGTTCAATATTCCTTGGGAAAGGCTTGGAGTTTGAATTTGGCAATTTTGGAAATGGCTTGCTTCCCTTCTGGGCTTCCAGGGGCTGCTCTGGCACAGCTTGCTGCAATAGTGAACCCAGCAAACAAACCTACTAAAGTGAAATGGAGCCTCTCCTGGTCCAGGGCCTTGGAAAATTGTGGAAAAGCTGTTCTTTAATAAGGGTTTAATAAGGGATTTGCCCCTTTGGGAAAGGCTTGGGGTTTGAATTTGGCAATTGCTTTTGGAAAAGGCTTGTTTCTCTGTTGGGCTTACAGGAGCTGCTCTGGCACAGCTTGCTACAATAGTGAACCCAGCAAACAAACCTACTAAAGTGAAATGGAGCCTCTCCGGGTCCAGGGCCTTGGAAAATTGTGGAAAAGCGGTTCTTTAATAAGGGTTTAATAATGGATTTGCTCCTTTGGGGAAGGCTTGGAGTTTGAATTTGGCAATTGCTTTTGGAAAAGGCTTGCTGCTCTTTTGGGCTTCCAGGAGCTGCTCTGGCACAGCTTGCCACAATAGTGAACCCAGCAAACAAACCTACCAAAGTGAAATGGAGCCTCTCCTGGTCCAGGGCCTTGGAAAATTGTGGAAAAGCTGTTCTTTAATAAGGGTTTAATAAGGGATTGGTTCTTTTGGGAAAGGCTTGGAGTTTGAATTTGGCAATTTTGGAAAAGGCTTGCTTCCCTTCTGTGCTTCCAGGGGCTGCTCTGGCACAGCTTGCTGCAATAGTGAACCCAGCAAACAAACCTACTAAAGTGAAATGGAGCCTCTCCTGGTCCAGGGCCTTGGGAAATTGTAGAAAAGCTGTTCTTTAATAAATGTTTAATAAGGGATTTGCTCCTTTGGGAAAGGCTCGGAGTTTGAACTTGGCAATTGCCTTTGGAAAAGGCTTGCTTCTCTTCTGGGCTTCCAGGGGCTGCTCTGGCACAGCTTGCTGCAATAGTGAACCCAGCAAACAAACCTACTAAAGTGAAATGGAGCCTCTCCTGGTCCAGGGCCTTGGAAGATTGTGGAAAAGCTGTTCTTTAATAAGGGTTTAATAAGGGATTGTTTCTTTTGGGAAAGGCTTGGAGTTTGAACTTGGCAATTTTGGAAAAGGCTGGCTTCCCTTCTGGGCTTCCAGGGGCTGCTCTGGCACAGCTTGCTGCAATAGTGAACCCAGCAAACAAACCTACTAAAGTGAAATGGAGCCTCTCCTGGTCCAGGGCCTTGGAAAATTGTGGAAAAGCTGTTCTTTAATAAGGGTTTAATAAGGGATTGGTTCTTTTGGGAAAGGCTTGCAGTTTGAATTTGGCAATTTTGGAAATGGCTTGCTTCCCTTCTGGGCTTCCAGGGGGTGCTCTGGCACAGCTTGCTGCAATAGTGAACCCAGCAAACAAACCTACTAAAGTGAAATTGGGCCTCTCCTGGTCCAGGGCCTTGGAAAATTATGGAAAAGCTGTTCTTTAATAAGGGTTTAATAAGGGATTGGCTCCTTTGGGAAAGGCTTGGAGTTTGAATTTGGCAATTTTGGAAATGGCTTGCTTCCCTTCTGGGCTTCCAGGGGCTGCTCTGGCACAGCTTGCTGCAATAGTGAACCCAGCAAACAAACCTACTAAAGTGAAATGGAGCCTCTTCTGGCCCAGGGCCTTGGAAAATTGTGGAAAAGCTGTTCTTTAATAAGGGTTTAATAAGGGATGGGTTCTTTTGGGAAAGGCTTGGGGTTTGAATTTGGCAATTTTGGCAAAGGCTTGCTTCGCTTCTGGGCTTCCAGGAGCTGCTCTGGCACAGCTTGCTGCAATAGTGAACCCAGCAAACAAACCTACCTTGACTGAGCTACAGCGTTTTTGAGAAAAAAATGCGTCTCAGCAATTACAGTTTTTTTTGCAAAAAAAAGGGTTCTCCCAATTTTGTTTTGCCACAAAAGCGAACCCTCCAAACAATACATGAGTTTCAGAATAATTTGGAAAAAATTTGCCACAATAGCGACCCTAGGTACTAATCAGGACCCAACATTAATCCACATGAACTATAAATATATATATATATATATATATATATTTATACCACCATAAACCCAGATGGAGGTTACTTGAAATGGGGATCCCCACCATGTGTTTCAATACTAAGTCATGAGTCATCCATGACGACTGGATGATTTGGGAGTGCCCCCTGACTGACTGGAACCTCCAAATGGCGTCAGGGTAAAAGGATTTTCACCGATATCAGGTGGGGCCCCAGTGACATTCTAGATATGTTCACTCACATGTATCTAACTATAATATGGGTTCCAACCTATTGGATATAGTCACAAGAGGTTATAAGGATGGTTGATACCACATGATATATCCCCCTTATGAATCTTCGATGGAAATTACCACATTTTGCTGGCTGAACATCCACATATTTCACCAGCCAAGTTTTTCACGTCATCTCAGGCAGAAGGGTGGTGACAAGTGGCTTTGTGCGCTTGCCTCCAAACAAGGCATTGCCTTTGCAGTCCTTTGGTTTCAATGGGACGACCTTGGCCTTGGCCTTGGCCATTGCCGGTTGGAATTTTATGGAAAATCATCGAACTCCATGGGGGATTTTCCGGCAAGCCATGTTTGAGTAGCTGAGGGTAAGAGTTAATGGGAGTTCATGAGAGTGTGTGTAATGTGAGTGAATGGAATGAGGTGCAAAACTAGATGAAAAATCATAGGTGATTCACTGCAAGTCGTGGCAATGTTTGATCCATTTCATGATCAGGAGCGTGATTTTTAGAATGAATTGTTGGGTTATTGTCCTCTTGTTTCTCGGCAAACCCCTATGTAATATATTCCCCCATCAGAGGTAGAAACAACAGGGACGGAAACTGGGTGAAGTGTATTGAATTGGTTTCTCCAGCATGAACGGTCTGCTTTGTAAAGTGGGGATGGGGTATACTTTGTCTGATTCAACTACTGTATGGGATGTTGTTTGTTTTCCATGTGTTGGTATAATGAATGGATATGAATGGGAGACGTTCGAAATGAAGCTCACATCTTTTCGAGGATTCATGATTCGTGCGTTTTTAACACCTAATCAATCACAAAAATACAAACATGACCAGAAAGAAATTGCATGAAACCCATGTTACCCTCTGGTAATTTAACATAGCTATTGAACATGCCCATGTATAGTCGATTTTCCCACTAAAATGGTTATTTTCCATAGTTATGTAAACGTTTACCAGAGGGTAAAACATGTTTTTCACATGGGGAAGCACGTCTGAACCTGAAAAAATCGGCTTGGGATCACCGAAAATAGCTGCCATAGATACCCTCTGAAGATCCCTCTGGTAACATGGCCGTTGAATGAAAATGGTTCATCAACAGTTGATTTACCTATTACAAATTGCGATTTTCCATATATATATATATAGCTATGTTAGTTTACCAGAGGCTATGGTATAATACATATATGTGTGTATCTAAGATTGGAATGATCCTCATGGGTGATATCAGCACACTATCTCTTCCATTTTCTCATCATCGTAATGATTCCCGAAGCTTTCCAAGGTATGCTCTGGCCGTGAAGGGCCCTGTGGTTGTGTCCGCAGATGCTGCCGGTTGGGAAACCTATGGTGGTGGTGTCTATGACAATTGTCCGCGCAACGCAGCCGTGAACCATGCAGTCCTGGCTGTTGGTTACGGAAAATCCGCAGAAGGCAAGTACTGGATCATTCGCAGCTTGGCAAAGACACCACCAATAGAGGGGTTGTGCTGCCTCCACCAGAAGTCTAGGCAGACATACCCAGAGGATCAACCATAATCAACCATAATATTACTGTATATAATTTTATATATATATATACAGTATATATAAGTTATCTTTGTGTGGGAGAAGCAGAGCATCATGAATCTCCTCCCCAGAAACCAGCCTCCCTCAGCCACCTTCAACCCTTGATGTTTTCCAGGCAACTCATGGGGTCCGGAGTGGGGCGAAGACGGCCACATGCGCCTCCTGCGCGTCGATGATTCGGACCGTGACGCGGCGGAAGCACCGGGCCATGGTGGCATCGACTACCACCCACAGGAGGGAGTGGCATGCGAGGGGGAGACTGCCCCGGTGCCGGTGTGCGGCATGTGTACCTGGGCGAATGAGGGGAGTGAGATTGATGCAGGCTGGTGATGTTTGTTCCGTAAATCAACCCAGTGTTTTGATATGTTTTTCGATGCAATTTTGAGTAATCCGTATTTTGTGGAAGGTTCTTTACAGTCAGGAAATATGACTGACATTCAGGAGCATTGTTTGGGCACCAGTGTATCAGTTCCAGCTTAAACTCCATGGCAGGCAGTGACTGCCCCAACAATGTTGTGGATGCAGGACAGGAGCACCCCAGTGACAATGAAGTTTACTATATAGATAATTAGTTTGGGATTCTCCAAAGTCACTTGTTTTGGTTTATCAACATGTTCCCATGTTTTCCATTTTTTTACTATGAACCATCAATTTTCGGAGGTATGTACATGAATATTGTCCATCAAGACCTATTAAATACATTAAACTTCAATATTTTGTGGGACGGCCATCCATGCCATAAATCCGTGTTTTATAAACAAAAACATGGGTTTTGATCCATGGCCATGTCATATAACCACAGCTATAGGGACCCCATATTTCAACTTATCGTGGTGATTTTTCACCATGGTTTTATCTCCTGTAAACTAAGATAGACGTGGAAAAACCATGTGGCTTTTCCACATCTATATCCCATAGGATCCATGGTGCTGCTATATATGGTAACATCTACCATCAATATACCCCCAATGTTAGCATATATACCAGCACCATGGATCCTATGGGTATTGGCTTACTCCAGGAGATATCCAGGTTTTTCGCCCCAAGTGCACCCCGCAAGCTGAGAACCAAGGTGGCATCCTCTTTGACTCCTCCTTCCCAGTGGGTGTGGCTGTGACCAGCGGTCATGGCGCCATGAAACTGAGATCTTCAAAGTGAGCAACAAATGCATGCCAACATATTCAGTGGCACATCAAGTTCGACTCGATTTGAAGAATGTTCAGCTTGAAAAAATTGTGCTTCTATTGAATTCTATTTGGGGCAAAACGCCACTTTTCATCTATTTTACAGTAGCTCTGGTACACGTCTTGTTCTGTCGAACTTGCCGCGTTGCTGAATTGCTGGTTCGTGATGATCGGCCATTGCTGATGTCCTCTGCTGTGTGTGATCTGCTGGAAAACTGGCGTGGGAGACCGGGAGCACCCAAGGATACCCAAGGCAGCACCGCAGGAAACAGGCATACAGTGATATTTGGTGTGTTAAAGTGGCATTGGTTGTGTGCAAAACTGTGGTATATCCCAGAATTGCCTTTTTAAATCTTTTTAATCGGCAACTAACGTGGTGACCATCAGTTGGGGCTGGGGGCCGGGTTTCGGGCAGGCTGGAATAATCTGATGCTCGGACCCACTGCACATGTAGTGAAAATGATGGATTGAAACTACTATTGAAACACAATTCGTGTGTCAAGAATCGGGATAATTCAAAACAAATCCCAAAAATCCAAAAGAATCGTCCTTGGAAACATGTATTCTGTTGCAAAAAAAGCAGCCCATTTCTGGCCCAGATCCAGCTGCATTTTGTACAGCATGCCAGCTTGGTGCCATGATGTTGAAGCATTTCGAGCTCGAAAAAGCCATCCTGGCGTATTGCCAGGATCCCCAAGTTCGGATTTCCAGAGATTTTCAGAGAGTCTGACTCAAATTTTCACCGGACTGAGGTGGCCGAATCTTCCAGTGACCCCATTAAGACCTTAAATTTAAATTCTTGTTGGTTTCAGAAAGGGGATACCCTCTGGTAAACTAACATAACTAATGGAAAATCACAATTTTCAATTGGTAAATCCACTATAAATGACAATTTTCAATAGCTATGTTTGTTTACCAGAGGGTAGTACCATTTTCGGTCACCTGGCTGAGAAAGCCCGGCAAAAACCGCAATCAGGTCGTAAACGACTGGGGATGGGCCCGAATATGCGAGAATCCTCCCAACGATGAGATATTCTTGAGATATTCTCCTGTATGATTCTCCAATTTGATAGTTCTTTGCTGCTTCATGTGTCAAATATCTTGCCCTGTCCACTGTGCCAAGGCCGCGTCCGTCGTCGCCAAGTTGGCAACGGCGAGGCCATGGAGCTGGATAGAAATCTGTGAGGGGCAGAAATCTGTGATGGGAACAATCAACAAATTATAAATCACAGACATGAATGATATGAATATAATGGTTTACAGCATTGTGAGAATATACATGGGTATACACCATTTTTAGACAAGCACTTGGAATTTCGGGGTTTAGCCTCTGGTAATTTAACATAGCTACTGAAAATTACCAATTTACAGTTTATTTGCCTATTATTTTAATGATGATTTCCCATATACCTATGTTAGTTTACCAGATGGTATATTATGGTATGATATGGCTTATATTACCAATCGCAAACATGTTTTAAAGAATAGGAAAAATATAGATTCGCTGATTTTTGTCCATTGCACTTTTTCGGCCGGGGTATCCCGGTTCGGACAGACCCGTTGACACATGTGTGTTTTGTAAAAGTCAAGCATCAAGATGAATCAATGAAAGGACAAATGGAATCCCACCAACAAATGGACGGATATATGTATATATATATATACAAAATATGTGTGTATATATATATATACACATTATGCGGATACATGTATAGCCATACATATGTATATATATAGATATATACACATACAGATACATATACAGGGGGAGAGCGAGAGAGAGATACATGCTCTGATTTAACCAACCAGAAATTGGTACTTGAGCAGCCAAGTGGACACATAATAAGTACCAATAAGTCATAATCATGAATTTTAATCAGGACACTGATGATCATGAGCATCACATATAATTCATGATAATAATCCAATAATAAGAGTAAGAATAATAGGGAACATCATGATCACCCTTCACCGTCCCCATGAGAGCATCAAATAACGCTGGCTATGCTTGGTACGTCTTGATAGCGTTGATACCACTGTCGCCCTGCAGTTGGTCGAGTTCACCCGGTAGAACGCTACTATTCTCATGCTGTACTATCCTGATAAATTGTGGGTTTCTATGACAGGGTGTGTTCTGGTAAACCCTATAAACCCTAAACCCTGAACCATCCCCTAAATCATCATTTTTATGGGTGCTATAAACCATCCAAAATGTGTATTGTTGGGTTTCCCACACCACTATCGTTTCTGATTTTCGGATATGCTTGGTGGACATTCCATTTAGAAGGCCAGGCAAGATGTCTTGTTCACAAGATACAAAGGTTCATTCGATTGGCAGTTTGTGCGCTTCTTGGCTCGTCAAGCCAATGTGGCTGCGGTGAAGCAAACAACAATGGAATCATGGGGTTTATGGCTTTATGGCAGCCAAAATTGGTTTGTTTGAAAGTAGGGTGCCAAATTCCATCCACTTATTCAGAAAATTCTGATATGTTCCTGATTGTATGCACCTTTCATTTTCAATCACCTGTATTCAGAATGGAAGATGTCAAAGATTCTGTATGTTTACAAGGTGCAAAGGTACTTAGCAATTGTAAATTAAGTAACCTGACTTGGAGGATCCCACTTAGTGATTGATAACATGTGATAACCATAGTTGTAATCTATAGATGGGGAAGCCGGAAAACTTACCTAGTGACTTAGTGGGATGCTCCTCCAAGTACTTGCAAAATAACCTACCCACTCAGTTGGATCATGCGCAGAATTTGCCACGATGACGACGCACTTTCCCAGTGTGGTCCTGTTCCTTCGCGTCTTTCACGGATCATACTCGGAGCCTCGGTGAAATCCATGCGGGTCATGTGCACGGTCAGAGGCAGCGCCGGGAACAACATTTTTGCACAGAACAGTAGCCCAAAATGAAACACATTGGCTTTATTTTAAAATGAGGATTGGGAGAATTAGATTAGTAATAGAATTGAGGTAGCCCAAAATATTGGCTATTTTTTAAATAATAAGATAAGAATGATAAACAAGTGTTTTTTGGGACGAGATGTTTTCCTACTTTTAGAAGGAGACAGGGTACCCTTCTGCTCAACGACCTCGTCCCAAACCCCACAACACATATTTTAATCAATCAAACAAAAAAAAAAGTTTCATAATATTTGTGTTTGGCCCAATTCCTCCAAGTTTAGAGTTTCGCAAAATAAAAAAAATACATAAAATGATTTAGCCACAGAAATTCTGATTAGAAGATTAGCACCCCTTTGGATTGATCCCCAGAGATGGCTCATATTTTGGGGTGTGACCCTTTAATCTATCATCCAGGGTTGTTGAACTCCCACGTAGGGGCCCCGCAAATCGACAAATCCAATAAAATAAAGTTATATATATATATATATTATTTAATTATATTATATATGTATATATTTTGTTTCAAAGAAACACATTAAATGATATATAACTTTTGACATGAAGTAGTTACCAATAATGAACCAGTTGAATGATTTTATGTAGACAAAATAGAAAAACAATGAACAACCTGAGTCTCAGAACTGAGTGACCACTTTTTTCGTAAAGCAGCTCTAGTCCTCGAAGGACCTCGAAGTGCCTCATGTTTTCCCCTAGGACTTGGATGAGTTGTTCTTCCCGAGCTACCACCATTTCTGGCCACGGAAGGAGTGTCGGTCCTAGCTGATGATGCTGATGGGCCATGGTGATCGCATTTTTCATATTTTTTCGGGATCAATTTCTGAAGCTGTTTGATCTGTTGGTCAAAAAAAAGGGGGATCGTGGACCTCCAAAAACATCAGTGGAGCTTTTGGCCAATTTCACGACCTCACCGTAAGTGACGGCCAGTCAAATATAATTAGACGATTATGATTATTTTTGTTTGTTGTTCGCTTGACCTAAGGGAACCACCCCTTGAACATCCCATTGTAGATAAATCTTATATATTCTTATATATTGAAATCCTTCTGGTGAAATCATGAACTCCCCAGTTCTCCCCAGTTCGTTTTCTGTTGGTTTTCACCATGTTTTTGTCCCGTTTCTGAGGCCTAAAAAGCCCCCTCGGATCCCCAGGTTTTGGCCCAACACGCTGCTGCTCCTCCTCTGGGACGACGGCTCCGAAGAAGATCTGCGTGCGGCCCAGGAGCTGCATCGGAAATGGGAGCCCTGGGATGCACTGAATGATGTGGGGCCCCCTAGTGGTTTATGTTGGTTTATGAGTTTATGTTGGTTTATGAACCCCATGAATACATATGAATACTATAGATATATCATAAACATTTATAAACCATACTTAAGCTAGTTATAAAACAACTTAGCTATCGTTTGGGGGGGCCACATTGTATTATTATCATATTTGGGGAATATAAATGGTTTATAGCAACCCAAAAAAATATAGGATAGTCTTTCCAGGATGCTATTTCTGACGTGCTCTTCATAACTTCACATAATTTGCAGGTTTCCAACTTTTTCATTTTTTTGGTGGGGATTGCTACATATATCCTATGGTAAAACTGGCTTAGAACTATCCCCACTTTCCCACCTCCCCAAGGTTTCCTACCGCCCGTCGTTGACCAAGGATCCTATGTTCAGATCCAAGGATGCTGCCAGGCGGAGTCGGCCGAGCGATTCACCTCCATTTATAGATGAGATACCTATTAACATATACCTATATACCTATAGATGATTATATGATTATACCTATAATATTATAGATTATAATGATCCTACTAGTATAAATGATATACCTATAATATTATAGATGATAATGATTATATATACTATTTATAGATAAAGCTAGATGATGATTTTCGAGAGGAAACCGTGAAATTGCCAATGGACCATCAATGAAGAAATGTGATGTGAGATTAAAGATTGTGATTTCCTTAGCTATGTTAGTTCACCAGCGGGTACAACGTTCCTCTAGAAAAATTCAGGACGGCTTGAGTCGTTTCCATTTTTCTTTTCAGGCTTGTTGTGTTTTGAATCAAGTTTTTTGTTGACCTTAAGCCT